AAGCTAGTAACTGGTCATTGGTATCGGTTCTGTGTTCAATGTCGATATATTTCATATCACTACATCGTGATTAGCCTTACCATCCTTTCGGTTGGGTCGGTTTGGGTGTACATACGCCCCTTTACGCCCCTTCAAGAGGGCGGGTCCGCTTTGAACGCTTTAACCAGTCATATGTTATTAACCCGTCTTGCGACGGAATTGGGTGCGAACCCCACGGGCACTGTTTGGTATGCCTCTTCGAGCCGCATGTCACGCGACCAGGTTAGTGTAATGGTGAGCCAACATATGTTCGGCCACGCTTTCGCTATTCAGGGATTTTGCACGCTTACAGTTTTTCCTCTTCCCGAGCCTTCGCATTTGGGAGTCTGTGTTAATCAGCTTTGTGGGATGGTGGCCTACACTTACCCTCCTCACCCGAGAGTGTTTGGTGGTGTTTTTCACTGCATAAATGCATGGCGCTTGTACTGCTCGATTTCAGAAAGTTTTAGCGAGGCTAATAATTTCTCTGGGTTTTATCGAGGTCCCGCAAGCCCTCTTCCAAACAGGGGCTGCATCTCGAGCATTAGTTTGCAGTACTTATTAGCTCGACTTCTGGGTTATTGGCTTTGTAGCGCTTAAATTTTTACGCTTTCCTACCCTTATACCTCTCGCCACGCATTGTCTGGCTGGGGCTATATTAGGGTTGGGAGTTGTTTCGCATGTCCCCATACATTCCTTCCATTGTAATGGTTGGGGCGGGTTTTATGTCATTGATATTGAGCCAATTGACATATAAGCTTGGGCTCTCTAGTTCCTCACTCGCCTGATTGACATCAGCGTCAGGTGGCTCGGTGTTTTCTATTTCCTCGTGATCGGGTTGTAGATTTCACTCCACCACGGGTTTAGTTGTTGCCAGACAGAATGCCACTCCCGCCTCAAATATCTTTGGGAGTCTGTCATATGCTTATATGTACCCCAAGGAGGACTTCTTCTGAAAAGAATTATACAAACCTGTAGAGGTTATGAATTCTTTGAAGAAAGTCCTCCTTGGGGTAAGGCACACCCCCCTCCCCTCATTCTGTCTGACACGCTCAGCATGAAAAGTGAGGTACGAGGTAGACGGCGCAGAGTTACCTGCTCTTGGCTGTGTTGGTCCGTGGGGCCCTGTAGGGTGGTCTCACAAGACAAAACGAAGTTTTTGTTTTGTAAATATTTTATTAAAAATATAGTTACAACTGTCGAGGATTTAAAATGGACATTTTAATGCTTATATGTACCCCAAGGAGGACTTTCTTCAAAGAATTCATAACCTCTACAGGTTTGTATAAATTCGGTTTGCACAGAAGAAGGCTGCGGCGATGGCCCCATCTATGACGAGCCTGCACGAAGGACAAGCAGTCTGCACATTGCATCCGGTTGAAGATGGTAGCCTGCGTGAAGGCTGCTATGAAGACCTCATCTATGACGACGAGCCTGTACGAAGGACCAGCAGTCTTCACATCGCATCCCAACGAAGATGGAAGCCTGCGTGGAGGAAGTCTGCGTGAAGGCTGATACGAAGACCTCATCTACGATGATGAGTGAGTGAGTGAGTGAGTTGGGTTTTTCAGCGCTTATAGCAATATTCCAGCAATATCACGACGGGGGACACCAGAAATCGGCTTCACACATTGTGCCCATGTGGGGAATCGAACCCGGATCTTCACCGTGACGAGCCAACGCTTTAACCATTAGGCTACCCCACCGCCCACTACGATGATGAGCCAGCACGAAGGATCAGCAGTCTTCACATCGCATTCCAACGAAGATGGAAGCCTGCGTGAAGGAGGAAGTCTGCATGAAGGCTGATACGAAGACCTCATCTACGATACTTCGCGGATCGCATCCAGCACGAAGGATCAGCAGTCTTCACATCGCATTCCTACCAAGATGGAAGCCTGCGTGAAGGTTCACTCTTGACTGCAACCTCGACAACGATGATGCAGCCCTAGACGTGCCGGAACGACCTTCCAAGGAGCCTTTGCACAGTAGACGTTCTTCGGAGTATCGCAGAAGTAGGTCACATGGATCATCTTCACCCTCAGATGCGGATCTTCGTCGTGAGCCTGCGTGCAGGCACTCCTCATCACGGAGAAGAGAATCCACACCTTCACGAAGGCAGAGGGATACGTCTCAAGATTCAAGGTAAGATTCATATTCCAACCGTACACCTGCGCGCAGGTCTTCAGGCCGGCAGGGACTCACGTCGTCGTGGATCAGAAGCACTCACGTACAAGATATCTAACGATGATTTGATACGTTCACCTTTCACCTATCGACCTGATAGCTCAAGTACCGGAGAATCTCAGCACAGCTTTGGTAAGGCTACGAAGTTCCAGAGTCAACATGTCCCGACATTCAACGCCAGGAATTTCCCACTACTTCATATGGAACCCTTCATGAAGGCTTCAGAGATTGATGAGAAGTACAAGATCATCAACGACTTCCATTGCAGAACTTACACAACTACTAGACGTACTTGTTTCGGGCTAGACAGATCCAACATCAGTGGGCTTGACTCTTGTGAGGAAGGGGACAGCTTGACAGTTACCACTGGCCTAGCATTGGCATTGTCGCAGTCCTCAGCATGACATCGTTTTTCACGGTCATCGTAGCAAATAATCAACTCTACAAGAACCTTTGTTTATTCAACACAATTGGTTATTTTATGGCGCTTCATTGAGACTGATGACTACAGTCTACAAATAACAGCGTTAAGCAAGTATGGAACTTCAGCTGATCATCTGTATAAGATGACGACTGCATTATCTTCAGTGAAGAAGGAAACAATCACAACAGCCAGGGAGACAGTCTACCTACATCGAATTACGCGGCGAAATCCGCGCGTTTTCCACTCAGCCTGCTATACACGTGTTCACTCGTGTAACTCCGGGAGGTTATGGACAAGGCCGAGTGTTGATGAAGAAATCAACAACTGCACAAGATTTTTACAAGGATCTTTTTCCTGCAACACCGGTGACGTCACATAGCGGGTATTTGAGATGAATCAAATGCTGCAATTTGATTGGTCCATGAGAGACAATGCCCTGTGCAGAAGTCGGGCATAGCTCACGTGCCAGGAAGTCGTCTACAGTCGTAAACAACTTTTCAACGTTGGAGGAAGGCTCCATCTACAGTCCAGTTTGCATGGTACAGTGTGATTCGACTGTCTTCACGGGTCATAAGGACCTTCCCTGTCAGCAGATTGAAGATTGTTTATCCGGAGATTTGCAGCAACATACGTTTGACGAATTCTGCTCGCAGCAGCCAGTCTACTATACATAGACTTCACAGCGATGGCAGTTCCAGTACATCTAGAGACGATGAATTATGCATCATCACTGCACTTTGTTGGGATTCTGGGGACAAGTCTTCTTGACATATTATCGGAAGTCATGATTCCAGAACCGGACATTGCTCCGCTTCCATTACAGACATGGCAAAGGTACCTACAACGTAGGATATGAGCAGATTTCTGGGAAGATGTTCATCTCACCACATAATCGCATGGTCGTCTCAGAGGATCGTTGGGTCTAGATACAAGCCATGGTAGCTCAAGCACTACTCTCTCCGTTACCACTACGAAGTTGGCAGAGCCTACTCAGTCTTCTCACGTCAGCTAAAGACATGACTCGCAGAGGAAGACTACAACTACAAGACTACAACTACAAGTGTTCGTGAACGCCCATCTCAACAGTCTGGACCCCTTCGTGTTACCGGACAGTCTGAAACCGTATCTTCTATGGTGGACTCGGAAGTCGAATGTCTGTGGAGGAACCTATTTATCAGAGCCGGAGTGCAGCACTCATCTCTACGTAGATGCATCGCTTCAAGGATGGGGAGCTCACTTTGACAACGAAGTGGCAGCAGGGAAATGGTCGAGTCAGGAGCAGAGCCTGTACATCAACATGCTCGAGATGAAAGCAGTAATATACGTCTTACTACACTGGTCCAGCATACTAAGGAACGCACAACTGATGATCCATACAGAAGTCGGAGACGGTGTTTGCTAACCACTACCTCAGAGACGTTGCTACCGAGGATGTCTCCGGCATTCACCAGCTTGGGCCTCTTGTTGTAGCACAACAATTGACGGTTCCACAAAGGCGCTGAGATGGATCTCACCCTTTTATCACGCGACTTGTAAAAGCCAACGCTCTGGAGAGCTAGAGCTTTAGAGTCCATGCGCACGTCTAGGGCAGACCAGCATGAGTGATAGACCCTGCTTCTCCACTGGACATGGAGTTGCATAAATCCACACATAATGTCAGAAGAAGAGTTCCTGAGAAATATGACAAGTTGTGGTTCCCCCCTCTCTCTCTCTCTCTCTCTCTCTCTTTCTCCTCCCCCCAACTCATCAGAGGAAGCTGGAAGAAAAATAGGATCAGCACAAGTGCCATCATAAGTTCCCATGGGGGGTATGCAGGACGTAAATCTACAGCCAATGAATCCAGAAGTGGCCTGACCCACCACCGGTTCCGTTGGATTCTACAAGCAAAAGAGCATGAGTCAGGATAAGGAAAAATATGTAATTTTCTGGCTAAAATTGATGTTTGATACTTATCCTGACTCATGAGGTCAGACCTCCCAACCGCCCCTCATGACACTCTGAACTTCCCGGTAATCTGGGTGTCGGGCTCATATACGGAGAGAGTGACAAGCATGGCTGGTCAGATGACCAATAAGGGCGGCAAAGGGAGGCTACTCGTGGGGTGAGTGATTTTACGTCCGCTTTTTAGACGGGAGCTTCAAAAGGGGATTCAAGTGTTCCACTATCATTCGCAAGAAGAAGGAGACAAGCAAAAGAGCATGAGTCAGGATAAGTATAAAATATCAATTTTAGCCAGAAAATTACATTATCTTTGCAGAATAAAAAACAATAGTTACTTTCATCATGATGGAAAATGTTCAATGTTGCATATTTTTAATTGATAATTAGTTGATGTAATGTAAAGTTTTAACCCAAACTTTCTTTGTTCTAGCATGCCAGGCATCTCTTCTACAAGAGTTAACTCCCCCACAGCCACTACTCCATGTTCGTCGACAACATCGACGCCATCAATGGGAGCAAGGCCAAAAACTACAGTGAAGTCTGAGAGCAATATTTCAAAATCAGAAGCACATTTTACACAAGTTAAGAAAGATGATAAAACAGGTGGGTATTCGTGAGCAGTCAAATAACATGTGTTTATTTTGTTATCTGTATTTGTGATTACTTGTCATTAAAACGACACCCCTGATTTCCTATTACTGATTGGATTGATGATATTATGAGGTTCCATGTGGGGATCCTTGTTGGAATAGGTCCCAGCAACTAAGTGGATCATGTGGTCAGGTTCTGTAACCTGCTTGGACAGTTCCAACATCATCAATCACTGGATTACAGTCAGGCCCCGGTAATCCGGTCCTCGTTAATCCGAATCCACCGACTTCCGAACGCTACTCACCGGGCACCAAATCATCTCCCGATATATTGTATATAATTGACACCTCGTTAATCCGATGATTCAGTTTCCGCCTCCGAACGCTGGTCAGTCGGAACGGATTGGACTAATTAAGTTGTAAACAGCTGCGTTAATCCGAACGATTGAAGTTGACCGCGCTGCTGACTGGTCCACCCAAAGTGACACGTTGTTTGTTTAGCGACTCATCCCTTTGATCCCTTTATCATAAGTGATATGGAAATTTCGACGACCACGCTGTTTTGGGACTTCAATCCAGAAATATATGCTCGGTACTGAATTAAAATTATGAACTATTATTTTTCCTTATCCTGACTCATGCTCTTTTGCTTGTCTTCTTCTTCTTGCGAACATAGTGGAACACTTGTATCTCCTTATTTGAAGCTCCCTTCAAAATAAAATCACTAATTGGTACTCACCACGAGTTGCTTCCCTTTGTCTCCCCTGGCGGGAAAAGGTGTCGCCACCTTCTGCCCATGTGCTTCACTCTCTCCTTCTTCGCCCAGTGAGCAGGATGTGAGAGCGCCTCGTGTCTCCTTACACACCATATCCTTTGATAATCTCTTAGTTTTTACCTCTCATAGGTTACTATAGAGGTATAGCTAGTATCCTTTACTATTTGTATTGATTAATTATCGTATTTCTACTGTTTATTCACGTGTATTCGTGGATTGTTCAGCTAGCTTTATGTTGATGAAAAATCTGTACGATTTGTAGATTACGCTTTTCTGCCTCCGATCCACATGTAATATGCCCTAGTTGTTCTACTGTAATGCGTTTAATTCACGTTGCAGTTACTGCATTAATTTATCCCTTTCTGCATTTAATAAATATCATCTTTGCGTCTTAAGACGTGCTGCAGATAGATCACGCAAACAAGGGCAAAACATGGCAGAGAATCCAGATATTCCATCCAGTCAGCTGCTAGCGATCGACCCTCTCCCGTCTGGTGTTCTGCTAGAGACCCCTGCGGTAGAGGAACGTGGGACGCAGTCCGTTACCTCGAAGAAACGACCGCCTCCCCAGACATCCCGTCATTGCAGACCAAGTCTAAGAGGGCCTCATCGTCGCCTCAACGCAGATTGAGGACTCCAAACTGGCAGCGCGAGACTTCCAAAGGAAAAATTCACGAAGACAGCGAGAACTTCTCAGCCGAGATCGCTCCAGCAGCAGAATTGGTCTCTACGATGATCAGCCGATAATCATCCCTGACTTTACGGGCAGAAGAAGCTGACCGGTGTCAGCGACTGTGACTTCTGCAGAGATCACCATGCAGCCTGATGCCTCTACACCGACGTCAGACGTTATTGATGTGAACCCCATCGCAGAGAAGACGCCGACGACTTCGTCACAGATCATCCCAGAAGACATGATGCGGCAGATTATGAACATCATGGAGGACCACTACAAACTGCAGAAGCAGGGTCCGAGCCTTCGCAAAGGCTCCAACGTAGACAGCACCCCAGAGGCACCCCCAGTCAACGTAGCAGCCAAGACGATGTCACCTTCGCGAAGGTCATATCATCGATCCCCCGGACCGGACGCAAATGAAGCGAAGGACATATGATTCCAGATCCTCATCATCTAGAAGAACATCGAGGGACTATAGAAGAGCTTCGCGAAGCTATCAACGTTCACCTCACAAGTCTCCGAGAAGATCATCCCATAGACGATCTCCACTTCGTTCATCACCAGGTCGATCACCCGTCAGATCTCCACATAGAGCGGCGCACAAGTCAACTAGATCGCCACAAACCTCATCAGATATACAGACAGCTACACGCAGTCCCGAAGAGCATCAACAATTTGTTAATGATGATGGTATTGAGGATGATGGAGGAATCATATTTTCTGATGCAGAGATACGGTATTGGATGGTCAATAACCTAGATCTCACATCACCATCTAAAAGTGGCAATACAGCAGCAGACGTATTTGATGAAGGAAGACGATCCAGATGCAATCACTCTACCCCGATCGACCCGATTGACGGCAGTGCCACAGAATCTAGATGCAGCTTTCCAGAAAGCCAATGAAAGTTCAGACACCACATCTGCCCAACTTTCATGCCAAGAAGTTCTCCGCATAACATGGACTCCTTCTACAAAGCCCAGGACATCGATGAGAACTATAAGATCATCAGCGATGTAAAGAACAAGATTTACAAGATGGATGATGCATAGGATGTTGGCTCATATAGAAACCATGGCGAGGTGCGGTATGTTCTTTGGGTTAAATAGATCTAGGACGATCAATGAGACTCTTATTACTAGATTCCGGGATTCCACGATGGAAGATGATAGAATGATTTATTCTGCCTTACTTATGCAAAAGAAAGATCAGCAGTTTTAGCGGATCATCTTACATCTGTTTCAGCAGCACTGACCTTGGCTTCGTCGTCAAGGCCTCCTCGCTTCCTGTAATTGGGGAGAACTTTACAGCCCCACTTTATACAGCCCGTGGTAGAATACAACATCCATCTTTGGACGGAGAAATCGACAAAGTCGCCAAGAAGTCTCTAAGGATTCCAGGGAAGTCCTTATGATTAAATCGATGGACACACTAGCCAGCGTCATTAGATCAGACTTCACAAAGATACTCAGGCAGATCTAAGTTCACGGGCCTACAAAGAGCAAGAGACAGGAAGATAGCCAGCTCTAGAGGTAAAGATTCTTTTAAATTAAAGCCCATATGGCAACTATAGAGGAGGATCAGGAAGAGGCAGGACACCCAGAGGTTCCACGCGAACTATAGGCAGCTGAAACACAGGTTGAACGACTGGAGTCTTCCACCCCCAGCCGCCGTTCCAGTACAGCCAGCACAAGTGGGTGGGCGCCTCCAACTACACTGGGAAAACTGGGGAATATTGCAAGACCCTACGTCTCCAACATTCTTCAACACGCATTTAAGTATCCCACTACAGGCCAAGCCTCCGCTGACAATCAAACCCCCCAAGTTCGATTTACAAGCAGCAACAACTACCAAAGATAAGAGGGCTGTTTCATCACTCCTATCCAAACAGGCCATAGAAGTAATAGATCAAGCAAGCGTCGAACCAGGTTTCTACTCCCCAGTTTTCCTAGTTCCCAAGAAAAACTCCCACGGAGAAATACAGACTCATCTACAACATGAGCTTTTTCAACAAGAATTATCTACGCCAAACCACGAAGTTTCATGATACATTTATCTCAGTTACGCCAGATGATTAGGCCCTATGGACTACATGGGCAGCATAGATCTACAGGATGCCTACCTGCACATCCCCATTCATCCCGATTCCAGGAAATACCCTACGATTTACTCTAGAAGGGCTACATTACCAGTGGAAAGTACTCCCATTGAATATCATCAGCCCCTGGCTATTCACGAGGATAACGCGAAACCGATTATCATATTTCTACATCAAGTCAAGGGCTACGCGAGTCGCTTTTACCTCGACGACGGGATACAAGTAGATCAAGATCCACAGCGTCTCAAACTACAGTTAAATTACATCATAAAGCTACTAACACAACTAGGTTGGTTAGTAAACTTACATAAGTCGGACCTTAGTACCATCGCAAGACCTGCAGTTCCTAGGTATTCGATTCATCACAAATTGCAACCGTATTATGGTACCAGAAGACCGTTATTCAAGATACAACAGACCATTCCACCAGCTCTACTCTCTCCGTTACCACACTTCGACAATGGCAGAGCCTACTAGGTCTTCTCACATCAGCCCAAGACATGACTGTCACAGGCAGATTGCAGTTACGTCCCTACAGGTCCTCATCAGCACATCTCAACGATGTACAACCATTCAGTCTACCAAACATCTCAGACCTCATCTACTATGGTGGACCAAGAAATGCATTATGTCTGCGAAGGGATTTGTTTAGCAGAGCAGGAATACAAAACCCATCTGTATGTAGATCGCGTCACTCAAGGTTGGGGAGCTCATCTCACCAACCACCGCGATATCAGGATTATGGAATCAGCAAGAATGCAAACTCCATATAAACAGTCTAGAAATGAAAGCTGTAATCAACGCCATTCTGCATTGGAGCACATTTCTACAAAATGCGCATCTAATGATCCATACAGACAATTCGACAGTGGCGTTTCTACATAAACAAGCAAGGCTCAACGAGATCGATGAACCTTTTGAACCTAAGCTTTCAACTGTTCGATTTAATACAAGATCTAAATCTACATGTCAGAGCAGTGCACATTCCCGAGCCAGAAATATACTAGCAGACGCTGGCTCTCTCGGCCTCATCTACCATCACCGACAGAGTGGATGATCAACAGGGAAATATTTGCACAGATAATCAAGCAATTAGGAGCCGCTAATAGACCTATTCGCCACGCGATTCAACAATCAGCTACCGACATTCGTGTCACCAGTCCCAGACCCCAAGCTTGGGCAACGGACTTAAGTCTATCATGGGAAGGCCTCAATGCGCATCGCGTTTCCGCGCCAGCAATAATACCTCAAGTATTACAGAAAATCAGACAAACACAGAGCCTACAACTCACTTTGGTCAGCCTCTACTGGTCGGCCAGAACGCGGTTTTCCCACACTAATTCAAGAAATCTGTCAACCAGCACTGGAGCTACCTAAGCGGCAAGAAACCTGTTAATTCATCCTCACACCAAACAAGTGCACGGAAACCCAGCAATGTTCCAACTACACGTATGGACTGTATACAAATGTGTTTAAACAAGAGAGGATATTCTGCCAGGGCGGCAAAAGCAGTCACGCTTGCCTTATGTTACTCAACTCGTAACTTGTAATGCGACGACAAGTGGCACAGTTTCAAAATTATGCAGCAAAGAAAGGTTTTACAGCAAGAGAGGCTTCACAACCTCAAGTGGCAGACTATTTGTGTTACCTGCGCCAAAACAAACATTTAAAAGGTTCAACGATATCAACATATCTTGCCGCTTTAGTTCTGTAATCACCATGAGAACGGGTGTCAAATTGACAAGATCTCCAGAGTTACTGGCCTTACTACTTGAAGCATTCCAATTGGAGGACCAAAAGCGGAAGTTCCACTTCCAGCTTGGGATCTGAATGTAGTGTTACAACACCTCACGAGTGAGGTCTATGAACCTTTGGAATCAACAACTTTTGAATTTCTCTCACAGAAAACACTGTTTCTGCTATTCTAGCCACGACAGCAAGAATGTCTGAAATTCACTGCTGGATTACGAGAGGATACAGTTTGATGACAATCATAACACAGCACTCCTCGGTTTAAGATGGGATTTCATCGCTAAAAATCAACTGCCAGGTCAACCAGACAGATTATTCCACATCCCGGGCTATCCTCTATTCTCGATCACAAGATACACAAGACCTATCACTGTGTCCAGTAAGAGCTCAAAGTTTATTTACGACGATGCAAAACAAGGAGAAGATTTCTCAAACGCTTATTCATCCCCTTATCGCCACTTAATCAAACAGAAGTGTCACGGACCACAATATCTATTTGGATAAGGACTGTCATTCTCCTGCGTGCCTACAAGGCAGCAGGCTTGGACCCACCAACAGCATCAAATCCACATGAGATCAGGGCACTGGCCTCCACCCTCGCCCTACACGTAACTGTTCCTTGAACACGATTATGGAAGGATGCTATTGGAAATCTAACATGGTATTTGCTAATCACTACCTGAGAGACATCACTACAGAAGATGTCTCTGGCATTCACCATTTCGACCACTGGTCCTCGCCAGCAACTGACAGTCCCTCGTAGGCGTTAAAATATTATCCTCACAAGATTAATATGTATTTTATACATACTTATCTAGCTTATAACTCTACGGAGTTTTAGGGCTATGTATATATGTTCAGCTTAAGTTATTCAACCTTAAGCATATACTTTTGATATATTCAATTTCAGTGCCTCTATCAGAGTCACCTATATATATATATATATTATATGTATTGTTCAATATATTCATAATGTAATTCCCCTTTAATGGCTTTATATAACCTATGGTTTTTATACAGGAAACATCCTAAATCTAAGCCTTCATGAAGTTCCCGTAGGGGATATTACAGTATATCTATACAAAATCACTAATTATAAATCCAAAGTATTCTGTTACTCCCACCTCCGTCTCCGTGAGGATGCTACAAAAGAAAGAGCATGAGTCAGGATAAGGAAAAATATGTAATTTTTGGAGTAAAATTGATATTTTATACTTATCCTGACTCATGAGGTTAGCCCTCCCATCCTCCCCACATAACACTTTGGATTTCCCTGTAAGTCCAAGTGTTGGGCTCGCAAAATCAGGAGAGAGTGAAGCACATGGGCAGAAGGTGGCGACACCTTTTCCCGCCAGGGAAGACAAAGGGAAGCAACTCGTGGTGAGTACCAATTAGTGATTTTATTTTGAAGGGAGCTTCAAATAAGGAGATACAATTGTTCCACTATGTTCGCAAGAAGAAGAAGACAAGCAAAAGAGCATGAGTCAGGATAAGTATAAAATATCAATTTTACTCCAAAAATTACATTTTCGCAATGTTATTGAAATCAACGATTCTCGGACACATGCTTCGGCAGCGGGTCCACAATAACATTGTCAAAGAGCAAAGTAACGATGTAAATTGAATAAACTAATGAATAAAATCCATGATTTACGTATAGGTAGCAATTTCTTGCTTTATATGTTCAAAATAGCATTATTTTACCCAAAACTTTCATCTAAATCTAAAAGTTTTCGTTTACTAGGATGGTATCCATTGCCGTAATATGATTGGCTGCCTTAGGTCACGTGTCTGATTTTGACCAATCACGACCCATATAGCAGACTGTAGCGGAAAAAGCGTCTTCAGAAACCAATTTTATCCAATAAAATCGCTTCTTACAACTGTGAAAATACTCTCGGCAAGGGTTCAGTGATGTTGTTGATGTTCAGAGCTTTCTCGAACGATACCCACGACATCAAATTCGATTCGCCTCCATGTTATTCATAATGACGGCCAAAACGGAGGTATTTTTCCGTTGTTGTTATGTCATGTTACCGAGCGGAAAGCCACAGATATCGGGAAATAGGCTGACCATACATATTATTTAAGAAATCTTTTTATAATAATTTTCTGATTACGTAAAAATGAAAATATAAAAGAAAAAGGCACGGGCATGTTATGACATGTCACAAATGGAAAAAAATCGCCATAGTTTTTGAATAACATTGTAAAATTAAACTTCATATTTATCAACAGTAGGATTAGATCTTTTAAATGGTGTATGGGATGTAGTAGCAATAACGTTTTACAAGCTTATAATTTCCTTCATAAACATAGGCTTCATCTATGACCTCAGAGTCTCGATAGTAAGGAAAGATATCAAGGGAAAGTAACTCGGTGCATATACTGTGGTTTTAGCAGTACGAACGTTTCACTATCCGAACGTTTTTTTCAAAAAACCAAAGTGTTTGTATTAACGAGGTCTGACTGTATCTGGTCCAGACTGGATTAATCACAGGCTACTGTCATATAGCTTACTAGTACAGCGGTTTTATCCACTAGGCTACGAAGGATTGCTGTGAAGAATGTGATCGTTTGCCAGTATGAACCCTATGTTCCTCACAAGATGGGTAGTGTGTGCAGCTTACGTGCAGGATACGGGTAGCACGTGCAAGGCAAGGTATTGGCTGCCAGTTGCATCCCAGTTGATTTCAACAGTAAATACCAAACATTTAAATTGTATCTAAAGTATATCTTCGATCGGTTCATAAGTTGGATCAAAACCTCCTCCTCGGTTTTGATCCTTCACAAATACCATCGCAACAAATCTGAAATTAAGTACACAATTTAATCCTGTAATTACGCTATCTGGATATAGAAAATGTTCCAAGTAATATCTAGACTAATGTTTTTAATCTACTTTAATACCTTATTCACTATTGCTTATGTTAAATTCTGCAATATCTGCACAAACCCAATATATAAGAAAGTTCAACTTCACCACTTTTGACAAATGTAACATCAACCTTGAACGCACCAAAATATGTAGACAGGCACTGTAACTGTTAATCTCAACTTCAAAGCAAAATTGTGTTCCCTCATGTAAGCTCAACTAATTGTAGTTCATTTTAAAACATGTAACTGTGACCCTGCCTGGCTTGGATATATTCCATAATGCACATCTCATCTCGATAAGTAACACCCACATTCAAGTGCAAACACTGAAAAATTCATTAATATTTGATTTTAGTGATGGCGAATGATGAATTTAAATCATGAAGGGATACGACCTGTGAACATCCGGGTTAGAATTGATCTTCATTAACCTATGCTTGTCCTAAGAGGCGACTAACTGGTGACTGGTTGACATTTCATCGTATCCCAATCGCATAGATTATTGCTCATGATTTTGATCACTGGATTGTCTGGTCCAGACTCGATTATTTACAGAATACTGCTGCATAGTGCGGCATAAAACTAAACTCACTCACTCATTAATGGGTACAGATCATTTCTCCCAGTATGCTAGTGTAACACTACTCATTGGCAAGGAATATGTCTTTGCCACACTGGGTTCTGTGGTAAAACTGAAAAGTAATAGAATTTGAGGAATATCTGGTACGTGAGCTTGATTTCATCAATAAATTGCTATTCATCTCAGTTTTCAACCCATTTCTTATATGATCTATGATAATTGTTTTGAGTAGCCTCTGTCAATTCTCATCCATGATTTGTTTATTTCAGATTATTCCGATTTAGAAGGTGCAATAGGGTTATACACCTCCAACAGAGGAAGAGATTCCTCAGTGGGTGGACCCAACGCTAAGAAGAGCATGCCGATGAGCTTCATGGCGTCAGGAAGAGAGAGGTTAAAAAGTTTTCTCAAAGCGAGACAAGGATAAGGATAACCTAGATCTGGACTGAAATCCCTTATAACGTGAATGGGTGTGACTCAAAACTTGTGTAGTAGTTGCAGTGTTGTCTCAAGCAGACACAGTTATGCCAGTGGATATCTTGTTGATGATATCTTCAAAGATGAACTCGGTAATGGGTGTCGTGTCTCCCGGATGCATTACATAGTAGCAAGAGATTTCTTCTTGATACAAAGAAGCAGGTATTGTCCAACCTTTCAACCCTCCAACTTTCTTAAAGGGGAGATTGGGTTGGATTATTTGGCAGTCCCAGTAAGTTGTACTTCAGTACTACAAATCCTACTTTGCAAGTTGATATTTAAAGACATATATGAATTTCTCAGTTTATGATTTCACTAATTAAAATGTCTCAGAATCAAATGTGTTATTTTACAACACAGACATGAAAGTTTTATGGATGACAACATCTTCATCATCTTCATTATTGTTTGTAAGAATGTTTCATTTCGGCCTTTTAACCCTTGATGTGAATGAAGTTCAAGATGTAGCCCTGAAATACAGTTACAACTGATAAAGATGGTTTTGTCATAAGAGTTTCATGTCTTCATGTTCCTCCGACTTTTAAATAGCTATCATCGGCTCGTAAGTAGAGGGGTGTGGGTTGTGTGTGTGTGTTAGCCTAGTGGTTAAAGCGTTCGCTTGTGACACCCACATCGATTCCCACATGGGTACAATGTGGTAAGCCCATTTCTGGTGTTCCCCCGCCGTGATATAGCTGGGATATTGCTAAAAACGGCGTAAAACCCAACTCGCTCACTCACTCGTAAAGTATGATGTCTTGAACAATGCTGAAGGAAGCCATCTCATAATCTGACTTTATGTTGAAATGGTTTCTAGCTCCCAGTCCTCCTTACCATTCTTGCTGCAAAAAAGCTGAAAAGTAACCTATATTGTATCAAACAATATTAGCAGTAAATTGTTATTAACAGTTGATTGTGTATACTTGATATTACACTGTAGTTACTTTGTTACTGGCATTAAATGCCTGTTCATCATGATTCATGTGATAAGGAAGAGTATTGGTACTGACTGGGACTCCCTGGGTCCCTGCTGTACATATGTGTCCAACATTCACTTTGGAGAGGAAGTTATTGTCATGTATTATGTCCAATCATGTTCATTATTATTAATAAGTTTTGTTTCCCAAACAAGTTGCTTTTGTATTGAGATGTTAGGGGTCTCTATTAAAACTGGTATCTTTGTACGGTAATGGTTAGATATCTAGATACTTGCTTATCTTGTTGAATAATGGACTGTTTCTTCAAGGTTGTATTTTATTTGGATGAATGGAATATGTCTGGTATAGACAGCTGATTCAATCACAAACAGATGATCTATGCAGATTAATGTATCCAAGTCTTGCCAAATTACATGTTTTGTTGCGATTATGTTGCTTGGTTGTCATGGTTTCATTTTAATTAAAGAAACACCAAAAAAGGTGCATTTTACATATAGCAATGTATGGTTTGATGAAATACCTGCTTCATATATAAATAAATAAATAAATTAGCTACAGTGTTCATTCTAGGCCGCACTCTAGTGCCATTTGTGCTCTTAAATGATATGTGGTGCTCTGTACAAATATGGGCAGGTCGTGTTGACACATTCATTCAGTTTGTTTTCGCTTGACAACTAATGCAAAACTCCAAACTAAGTAGGTTTTTGTTACAAATAATATAGCACTGCTTTCCCTCACTGAAACGTGCTGAGTATTAGAAGCAGCATTAGAGGTGTCCTTTTGTATAGCAGTTCAGTTGTTTTCGGAAGTTTAACAACCGTTGTTTTCTCGAGTATCACATGAACAGTTATAATACATGTCACTAACTTATTAAAGACAGCTTTGTCTTGCACACATATCATTGTCAGAGTTTTACAATGTCTGGGTGGCACAACTTAAAGCTTAGCGGTAAACACTGCCGAACAGAAACATATGAAAATTACATAATCACTTTGGATTAGTCACTGTCAGACTGATAATAAGAACATGGCTCATTGTTGAAGTGTCCAGTTGTGTTGTTTCCAAGGTTTCTGGATGAAAACTCAGACTTACAGTTTTAGCTAGAATAAGAAAACTATTCAGTCTATGTTGAAACTTCATATGTGTTGTTAATGAACAGTGAGATTGCATAGTATTTATAGCACATTATTTATTCATATTTTTCAAATTCATTTTGGATTTATGTTAACCATTTAATAAATGTGTTGAGGAGATCTTGATTTGGTTTCTCTTCTTCAAACTGTTGACCTTACTGTATTGGAAGTTAGAAAAAGAAAGTGTACTCACACTACATGCACTACTAACTAGTGTTGTATGGCGAACAAGTTACTGCAATTTGGCATGACCCACAATATTTCTTAAAGGACCCACATGACTGAGGACAGGCGGGCCAGGGCCGACATCTTAGAAAGGCTAGAATGAACACTGCAGCTACATTTTTGCAGTAACAGACATCTTGGCAGTATATTCAGAACTAAGTGGAAATATTGTATTTTGACTTCTACCTAATCAGACATTTGGGAATGTGACATATAGCAAGAACAATAAATAATACATGCTTTGTTGAAATGTTTCTCCAGCCAGTGGTGTGTTTATGGTGTAATTTCTGGATATGTTAAGTACGCCAGCTGATAAGAATTTGTAATGATCACCAGTAAAACTTATGGACTTCAGACATTACAGCAACTGTTAATTTTCTTATTTCTATGATAATATATATTACTATTTTAATAAAATGCTTCACAAAGGCAATAATTTTTTTACTGACAACAGTGTATGATAAATGTGTGTTGTTCATTGATATAAACCTATTTGTGAAAACAACAACTTGACCCATTTGTCTCCAGCACATGCATTCCATTTGATAGAAGTCTAGTCAAGTATTTTGTGTTAATGTGTTAATTGTGCAAGATAGATCCACATCACAGAAAAAGAATTAACCTTTTCTCAAACATATTATTGGAAGAACTGAGTTCATTTGTTCAAATTTTGGACTCACAGAAGCATGCAAAAGTCACTTTTACAAAAATGTAAACAGATGTTAACAGGTCTTCCAGAGTATTTCACTGCGATCTGAAATGGCAGTTCATGTATTGAGTATCGTAGCTTGATGCTTGTGGCCTGCTTCTGGTCTGCACAGAGAAAGATTATACAATAGTCTCCAGAGATAGAAAAAAATCATTCATTTCTTTCATAGTTTAGACCATGCAAGATCATGTCTTATAAAAACAAACATATCTAAAAAATGTATGTGTTTCCAATCACAGTGTTCACAATCTAGAATGTACATGTAAATATCCTTTCTAATTATTTGCAAGCTTTTATTCACTGATTTTGGGCCCTGTCTAGTGTAGGCCTTTCATTTACAACATACAAGATTATATTACCACCATTCCATAGTTTCTTTCACTATTCAGTTCAGAGTCAAATATTTTATTGATGTCAAGTTTTTTTTTCTCAATTGTAATTGTTTCTGCAGGGAGAAAATTTAAAAAATTGTATCCATTGGTTTGAAACTGGAAGAGAAGGACTTCAAGTATGAGTCCTAAGCTTCACATATTAAGGACAAGTGTGTTTCATGTTTAGATTGTACGAGTGAAAGTGTAATTTTTCTTACTATCTGAGGTCAGATTTGACAATCATTCTGTACTGATTGCAGTCGCCAATGATGGAAGTAGACGTCCCCTCCATAGATTTTATACCTTTCATTACCTTGTACGATGTATTTCCGTGAAACCTCAGAAGCCTCTCATTAACGTCTGTATGCCTGGTATACAAACTGTGAACAGAATGTGAAATTGTCATTAACTTTCACAATGTGACTATGTGGCAGAGCTACAGATAACATTTTGGGTCACTGAGTTATGTACTCGCATGTGTTCATCTCGATTGGGTATCCTAAGTTTCCTTTGAGTAACCAAATAAATTGTACTCACCCCACTCAAACTCAATTGGGTATTTTGAAATTTTCCATTAATTTTAAAAATATAATAAAGTTAAATGTTAGTGTTTGTTATTTATATTTGATATATAATATGAGAAACGATATTAAAGACTGCAAGTTGTCAAGTTCATGTCCTGAAATAGAACCTCTCAGTATACCTCAGTTATTTTATCTATCCACCGGTACACAAGCTAAGATTTGACATTTTGTGTGTACGCATGCTAGATCACATATATTGAGTATTTACAAAAATTCAAGCTTCTTGTACGCAATAGACTTAATAGGAATTGAGTTTTCACATAAATATTTGCGTAATTTACGCAGATACACAGCTTATCTGTACCTCTGCTATGTGGATTACAAAGTTCAGTATGAATCTAGTCAAAACTATGATAATGTATTGTGTTTAGAAATATGAGATCACAGGTTAGGGGCTGGTTTTGGGGTATGTGTTGAGTTCGGATCTTTCGTTTTTAATTTCAAATCAAGTTTGCAGCAAATGCAGACCTCCTCCATACCACATGCTTGTGACACCAAAGTTGCCTTGTGAATATGTTAAGTAATAATGGATGGCTTCTTTGCGGTGCTATTGATGTGTTAGGGAATTCGGTAAGATTTTTCAGATTGTGTGCTCTTTTTACAATTGTTTCAGGGTTTGTTCAAATCTATGGATAATTTATTGATCATATGTGGAATATTTTTAATCTGTTCTTGAGATTAAAGTGATTCTTCAACCAAGCTCCATGCTGTATCTTCAGAATTAAACATCCAAACAGAAACCCAGAGTACCAGTCAATATGAGCTTGTATACTCTCATATGACACATTATTCCCCAGTTGGTTTATAATGCTTCAAAATACTTGCTATGTCATTACAGTCCACTTATGGATTTGTGTCAATGCCAATATTTATTGTGTAAATATCTGTTTCAGCACTTCATCTGTGTGTAAATTCATTTATGAGGCATGTACCTGGTCCTGTTCTTGTAACTGTACATATGAATATTTTTGTGAATAAATAATCTTTAATCAGAGTTTGTGACAATGTTGTTTTTATATATTTGCAGTATGTTTGTCATTAATAATCATGGAAATGGGGGTATTGCTGGCTGAAATGATCAAGAATTGGAAATATCATCAGGAATCATTATTAATGATTATCGAAATGAAACTTGTGTAATTGATAAATTCGTAAATTAACTATGCTGATGAAATAATTATTATAATTTGCTCAGAAAGTAAACAAAGTTAGGTCTTTCATGGGCTGCTCCTATAGTATGTTCAGGTGGAGTTTTGTTGCTAATCCAAACTTAAATGCGTCACCACTCAACAAATGTGAAATGTGTTAAGTTAGAGAACCATGATGTTAGGCAATAGGGGGTTTGACTCTACCGGTAGCTCTTACCCTCAGCCTGAAAGGTTGTATCAGCTTTCTGTGTCATTCACAACTATTAAAATATTGTTATTGTCAATAAAATTGTAAAGGTCTCTTGTGACTCTGGCTCTTTGCTGACAAATTCCCCATGAAACCACCTTGCCGTTTGGAAGGTTTCTGGAGATCGGAAGCACTGGGCACCACACAACAGAACCATAATAAATCACTGGTTGGTGGGTTCCGATTAAAAACTTCCACTCAGATAAGGGACTTGTTGCAACAGGCCATTGGTGAAGGAGTACATTCCCAGATGGTGTGAATCATAGATCTGCATGTCATCCCACAACGTTTGTTGCTGAATCATTGGAATCAGAGGTGTTGCTGGATACAGGAAACATCAGACAATCAATGTTGGGCTAATGTCATCTTTTGTGATGACTAGAGGTTCACTTTCAAGGCACATAACCCAAGGGATCGATGTAGGAGATGTCCTAATGAGTGTTTTATGGATGTTTATGCCATACAAGATGATGTTTTAGGGGTTAGTATTGGTATGGGATGGTATCACAGTGACTGACCAAACTGAGCTCCATGTTGTATATCGCAGGTCACAGGTTAATGCTATCAGGACTTTTATAACAACATGTTGGTCAACATTTCATCTTTCACAGTGGTGTAGCTACCATTGTAAAATAAAGCCAGGGCTTACACATGATTGTTGCTACAAAGGTTGGGCAAGCCCTCAATACTATCTAAATATATAGCTTTGCAACCTATCGGGCGCACACGAAGTATTAGCTTGCTACATGCCTGTTTCAAGATGAATATGTACACATGCTCATTGTGCCAGGACTGTGACCTAAATCCTCCAACAGCAAAACATCCATGTCAAGCCATGCCCAGTACTCAGTCCTGACCTTTCCCCTGTCTGGAACATTGGCTGATGTGTGTGTCAATGTCAAAATCCACCCATCACTCTCAGTGTTCTGGGTGCTGCTCTTACTGATCAGTGGAACAACATGCGTCAAGTTGAGACATCAGAATCATACCAGGAAAAATTGTGCATGTCTGGCCAACAGAGGTGTTTTCCACTTTACCAACATTGTACACCACCGTATTTTACCACACCAACCATTAAAACCCATTAGATCACACTACCTACTCCCAACAGGTATGATCATTTCATTCACATATGCCAGTACAAGAGACCAGATACCTCAGAAACCTTGTCAGCCAACATGTTCCAGCACGCTGTCTTCAATCCATGGACAACTTCAGTCTGACACAACCTAACATGGGACAGAGAACCTTTGCAGCAGCAGCTCCAACGCTTTGGAATTAACTGCCAGTTTCCTTGAGATCACTACCATCAGAGTTCTCATTAAGAACAACATTAAAATCTCATCTTTTCCAAATTGCCTTCTCAAAGCTACTCTAATATAACTGTGTACACTGCTATTATTTCCTATTTTGTGTGACTTCTCCTCTTCAAGACCTACCCGTGAAGATCCTGGTTAGAATTGGTCTCCAGTAACCCATGTTTGTCGTAAGAGGCGACTAACGGGATCTGGGAACATGTCATCGTATCCCAATTGCGTAGACAGGGGCGGATACAGCATTTTGAGAGAGGGATGTGGGTGGGTGGGTGGGTTGGTGGTTTTGCACACTATTGAGAAGGGTGTGTGTGTGCACCCTTCATTTTCACGAGAGTTTCAGTGGTAACTTTCAGGACTAAAGGAGGGATGCGCACCCCTGCATCCCCTTCCCCCTTTCTGGATCCGCCTATGGTAGATGGATGCTCATGCTATTGATCGCTAGATTGTCTGGTCCAGACTCTATTATTTAAAGACCACCGACATATAGCTGTACGTAATACTGCTGAGTGTGGCGTAAAACTATACTCACTCACTCACTATATTGGTTTCGTTGTGGATCCTTATACTGTTATCAAGCAAGAGTATGACAAAGGTAAATGTGAAATAAAGATGTGTTGTAACACTGCGTTTACATCAATGAGATGTTTGGAAGATAATTGGATTTTCCAGCATGATAACGACCCAAAACACACTTCGGTCTACACACAAAATTGCTTGTGGGAAGAAAATGTTCAAGTTTTGGACTGGCCCAGCTACAACCCAGATCTTCACCCTATTTAGAATGTGTTGGGACTAATAAAAGACAGCATAAACAAAAAAACGACTTAGAAATATTGAGGATATGAAGAAAGAAGAGGTCGAATATTGGGATAAGCTGTCGCACGATTTCCTACAAACTTTGATCGGTAGTGTACCTAGGCGCATTAAGTCGTGTACTGCAGGACAGGGAGGCCTCACAAAGTACTGAAAAGACACTTAGACTGTAAGAGAATCATATCTCAACACATTCATTCAAGTAACATTTTTATAGTTTATATACATGTATGAGGTATTTGCCTAAACAATTTTCTCAATAATTTCTGGGAATACTATTGTGAAACAGATATGATATACACGTTTCAGGTCAGTATTCACGATTACAGCCACAGGATGAGAACTGACACAAACTATACTTTTTGATACTGAAAACCTGTAGCAAGCGGCAGAGAAAAATCAACCAGTGTTCTATAATTTTGACTGATAAACACAGTGAAACATCTACTGTAGTATATAATTCTTGACATAGCAATGTTGTCAAATCATATTGAAGTCCCTATATTCACAAATTATTTCCTGAATCTTTCTATTTCATCAAAATTTAGTTATCGAAAATAAAGACGTGTCAATCATGTACAACGTGTGTTTATTAGGAATTACAAAAATCTTATTAATGATGAACCGCATTTCGGAAAATGTTTGGAAGCATATTTGTATGCAGCCCGAGGCAGACGTAAACTTCCGGTTTGACTGCCACATGTGGATATGTAGTGACAGACAGAAAGTACACAGGTGATCTATAATTACCATTCTACGAAACACGTTTCTTAGAATTAGGACCATAAATCCTTGCTAGTCATTATACAGTAATGGCAAGTCCTATTATCGAATATTTGCGTCAGTTTTTTTCTCTGTGAATATTGCACAACCAACCAACATTTGACAGGTCTGATAATATTTTGCAGATGTCTTGTTGTTAGCAGTAAGCGTTGGGAGGCAACACCGTTCAAATAAGCGTGTCTAGTGAAATGAATAACTTCTTATACACTGTTTGAATCTCTGTAGCCTCTAATGTTTTGGGAGAATGCAACTGAACCAAAACGTTTTCTTTTACCCCATGTCAAGCTTTTATCAGCTGGTGTCTTCAGTAATTGTTTATCTCACTATCAACTCTGTATGTGGAGAAACAAGTTTCAATCTATAATGTGAACATGATGCATGCAGAATAACATCACACTGAAGCTGAACTTGTTAAAATGATGAGCATGATAATTAACACATGTCTGCAGATACATTAAAAATGACGGGCTAAATGGTATAGGGTCACCTCTTTGGCTTGTTTCAGCACTTGTTCAGTCTTCACACATGATCGAGTTCATGAGTATATCTGGAATTAGATGATAACAGGATCATGGCATAAAGAAAACCGTTAATCTGAGCATTTCTGTGTCCAAAGATGATTTGAATAACCATATGTTTGAACCGTACAAAGAGAATGGCCATCAAACATATGCTGTATGCTAACAAATGAAAACAAAGTTTGCTGATTCGTGTTTCAAAATAATTCATGTATTTGGGAAATCTAATCAAACGTAAAATATCTGCAGTGTATGCATATTTTACAGCTGAAGTTCATTTAACTATTTGCGTGCCTTATATTCTATTTTATAGCTGGTGGACAAATTCTATAGTTGCACCCATTATACGATATATACTTGTGTTCAAGTACTCATTCATCCTTTCAGCATTATTTTCTTTATGTATACATTTACTGTTAATTTTGTATTCCTGGTAAATTCAAATCTTGCAAGAGTTGTAATTAACAGTCAAACTTGTCTTCCTATGACTACATCTTACAACTATGATATTTTTCTGAAGCTTTTGCTAATTTCTTCAATTATTCAGACCATATCCCTGTTCCTGTAATGAATTGCCAGAAACAGAAACACAATATTCAACAGGACATATATTTTAGTTCTAATGGAGGGCCGGTCAGTTAAGAGGCGTGGACGCCCAAACAGAGGAGGAGGAAGATTTACAAGAGGGCATGGACAGAGAGGAAGAGGGGACGTGGCCGAGGCCAGCAAGAAAGTCAGCGTGGAGGTTCTCGAGGAGGTGGATCGGGTTTCACGAGGAAGGGCCTTGATGATAAATATGACTGGGAAGACCACCCCCTGGATGGATTGCCTCTTGATGATGAAGATTATTATGATAGAGGGTAACAATAGCATACTATTGCCAAGCATAATTTCTATGTGCACAGAGGATTTATGAAATGACAAACGCTTCAAAGTAGACATGGTGAAAAATTGTTAAATATTGAAAATAAGAGAAATGTTTTTGCTCACCACCTGCTTGATATATACATGTACTCCAGTTAATACCGTGGTTGGTTGCCTTTAGGTAGATTTATGTCTCCTGTTGATATCATTTTGTGGCTATTTGGAGCCTTAGAAATATGGTTATTTTTTAATAGTGGTGGTTCATTTATTGAAATGATCGAAGATTGGTGGCAGTGACTATATATATGACCAAGCAATTGACCTTCTTTTCTCATAATCAAACACAAACAATTTTGGCACACATGTTTGCATCAAGAATATTTTTCACAAGGTTGGTGTTGTCAGTGTCATTAAATTCACATTTCATAAGCACTACAAGCTCATTCCAAGTCAGGATTGAATTTAACTTAAAGACTCCAGGAAATTTATGTTCCTAACATACTAGTCATCCTGCATTTTGTGCAAGCAAAAAACCCTGAAAGACTACATGTTTTTTGCTTTATTTTTTGTGTACATTAGCAAACATAACAGGAACATTTGATAAATGACGCTAACCAATTATTTTCGATGATTGATTGGTTGTAATGTACCCATCATCAATTATGAGATTTAAACCAATTCCCAACACTATCTTTGATATACGTTAGGTTTGATTGTCATGATTATGAAAATCATATCATCTTTGCTTACCAATGCAAAGCACTATGCACAAGCAAACTACCCTCGCTTAATGTCTTATAAACAATATCATCTTCAGAATCTTATTTGGACCTCCATTGTCAAACTTAATGTGAACATGATAAATGTGTTAGTTGACTAAATTCAGATACACAGCCCCAAAGCGCCGTCACAATGGGCCACAGGTCAAGGTCACAATGCAGCATCTGCAGATGAGCACAGAGAACCAGGAAATGGTACGAGACATGTTGCGAGACCTGCATGGTGAAGAACTGGACATGCCTGAGTAAGATTAAGAACATTGTCGCACATTTTAATTTGATAATCGACACAATGATTAAATGTTTCGTGAACAGTTTGTGTTCGTTTTTGACAAATGTTTTTGTTGCTTTAAACACATAATAAAGGCTTGATTATGTTTGTTTAGTTAATATAGAGTCTTTATTATCAGGGAATAAGGATTTATATGCCAGTTTTAGCAACATTCCAGCAATATCACAGCGGGGAACACCAGAAATAGGATTCACACATTGTCCCCATGTGGGGAACTGAACCCAGATCTTCGCTTGACTAAGCAAACACTTGAACCACTAGACTACCCCACCACTCCCTCATGATTATTATTACCTGCAACCTTGTTAATCTTCTGAAAACAAGATGATCATATTCTCCCAATTAATGGTTTCCTGTTTCACTGAGTGCTGCCAGATGGCTTATGTCACTGTGATGTTGCAGAAAGGATGAGTATGATGAGCTGGATACCAGAGATGATCATCAGTACTGGGTCACGCAGCAGCCCCTGCAGATCCAAGATGGCTGCAGCTTCGCTTTCTATGGTCAGTTCCAAGATGGTGGAGATACATCAAAGAAAACGAAGGCTCCTAAGACTATAAATCAGTTTGGACTTCAGAAACTTGCAAGGTTTGTAATGTGCATAACTAACCCTACTCCCAATATGGAACAATGTGCTTTGCTCCTAGGGAGGTTATTTCATTTATTAATAAAATGGCTGGAGATTTTTGATTAATTAAGAAATACAGTTCATTCTACCCCTGTGTATAGTGTGATAAGGTACAGTTTTGCCCTGAACTATAATAGTTAAAGCATGAGGATGCTTGCACAAATAATATGGTCGTCGTCTTTGATCTTTTAGCAAAGCATCTTAGACTGTTTGATGCGGTACTGCAGTAGAGACTGGAATTGGCATTCTGTTAGTAGGAACATGTTACTAGTTAGTTCATAGACCTAAATAGCAACCAGCATAAATCTGAGAAGTCTTGGAACCCTGCACCAGCAGGAACATTTGGAATTGAAATAATCAGTAACCAAAGTCCAACATTATTGTCGCTGTATGGGGTGATGCCTTGATACAGCGGATCTTGCTTTTGCAGATATGGGTTTGATAAGGAACGGTGTACTGAGGCATTGAAAGCATGTGATGAGGATATAGGAGCCTCTCTGGAGCATTTACTGTGTGAGTGTTTCAATCTGCTGAAAGTGGACGCTACCCAGGACAGTGAGCAGACGTCAGAGGAGTGGCAGGAGATACTGGACGCTCGCAATGAGGAGATGACAGCCTTACAGTCTATCTACGAGGATAAGTTTGAAGAAAGGATATCAAACAATATATGGATTCTTTATCTTGATCTTGAATCCCTGAATCAGATCCTTAAACCTGCACCCTCGAAACCGAAGCAATCGGTCACACAACGATACGACAAAAATATATGTAAATATTTTCAAAAAGGATCATGTAAATTTGGAAGTAAATGTAGGCACAAGCATTCTGTGTTAAACCCAGATGAAGACACTGTTGATGAACAGCATACCAAAATAAACAGTTCATATCAGCTAGAGGTGCGGTTTCCCCCTGGGAACAAATACCCCAATGAACCCCCATTTTTAGCCTTCTCCTCCTCCCACCCTTTCCTCTCGGCTCACAGCTGTCTACATATAACACGGTTCTTGATAGAAGAAGCCAAAAGTCTTTCCGAGCACCATGAACCTGTGATATTTACCTTGTTGAGTCTGTTGGAAGATGATGGAGTGTTGCAAAGTCTGGTGGAACAACCCCCACTGGAGTTCAGTGTGCCAAAGGCGATCATATCCCGGAATCGGTATCGCCATCTTGCAGAGGGCAACACTGACACGTCTGCTGATGCAGATGATGATGATGAAGATGATGAGCAGATGGAGCAGATGATTGAGATGATGGAGAAGGAAGGACAGAAGAACATTGTAGTGGAGGAAGTCATTCCAACACAGAAATATGGAAGGAAGGATGTCGTCCCAAGGAGGGTAAACAAAACAGAACTATTCAAGAAGAACAGACTGATGAAGGATGACTTTGAAAGGAAACAGGTATGCCAGAATCATTGAGGTGTGAGTAATTCAGTCAGCACTGAGAGATGACTGTAAGTAACTAATCTCTGGTAAAGGTAAACATGATTAAAAATATTTATGAAATGTCACCAATATCTTCTTTTCAGGTCATTATCATTGTGATATCTTTATGTTGTATTAATAGGTGTTCCTAAGTGACTGACAATTTATGGATGCAATTTATGGACAGCAAATTCTTTCATGTACCAGTTTGACAAAGGTACAGGGAGCTATGAATACACAATGCCATTTAGAAAATAGTCAAATGTAACATATGTTATATTTGGGAGTACATTTCTTCAGTAATGAACAGATTCTAGTACTTTTGTATGGTTGAATCCCATCTGAGGTTCAAACCAATCCAGAAATCCCATCTGAGGTTCAAACCAATCCGGAAATCCCATATGAGGTTCAAACCAATCCAGAAATCCAATCTGAGGTTCAAACCAATCCAGAAATCCAATCTGAGGTTCAAACCAATCCGGAAATCCCATCTGAGGTTCAAACCAATCCATGAATCCCATCCAGGTTTCAAACCAATCCGGTATTCAAACCCACACAATGTCAAGATAGTAATACATGATAAAAGTTGCTATCCATAAATTGTGCCTACCTGTACTCTATTATAAATATGGTATCCATGTTGGAATATTAGTGTGTATATATATATATTTCCTCCTTTCACCATGTTCATATTTTCATTGACTGATAGTCATCAGGTAGTTACAAGAGTATGATTGCTCAGCGTGGCAAACTACCAGCTTGGGACAGACAAGATGAGATTGTGGACACCATTGAGAGCAACCAAGTTGTCGTCATCAGTGGAATGACAGGGTATGGCTGCAACCCACATTTTGGGGAACAGGTTCATATGTTTGGGACCCAGGGCACCGTTTCACAAAGCTATCGTAGCACTACTACTGTCCTACCTCCAATACTGTAACATAGACTTACGACAGACGTAGCACTACGAAGCTTTGTGAAACAGGGCCCTGGACATATCATTAAGCCATCTCTTGACTAGCTAATTCCTAAACCTCTTAAAATTTGAGTTACTACTGCATAACATAACTTAATATACCGTATATTGCCTCATATAAGGCAAGTTTGTTGTACCTGAAATGAGGGGTGGTGTTAATATAAAGTAATTTAATATTCACTACTTACACTTGTATATGTAAAGCTTAACTCTGAAGCCTAATTTATGCTGTTTTGTTTGAACTGAATTTGTTCAATATAACTTCACCAAACTTGGCATACATGGATCTGGTGGTGTACTGGTGCCTTTTGGTAGTTTTGGAATTCTGAATTAAATATTTTTCGCATGGGGAATTGGATTTGTTCTTAAAATACTGCTTTAGAATATGTCTTCAAATTACTGAAGACTGAAAGCCTGGTCGGAAGCTGATAGTAGCAATACTGATTCTGTTTCATAGCTGTGGAAAGACAACCCAAGTGCCACAGTTTATTCTGGACAAATACCTCAGGTCAAAGAACTCGAAGATGTGCAACATCATCTGTACACAGCCACGACGTATTTCTGCTGCGATATATCTGTGGCTGAAGAGAGGGTGACAACCCAAGTGGACGAATACCTCAGGCCGTACACAGCCCACGTGTGAAAAGTTAGGGTGTGTTGGCTACCAGATCAGACTGGAGAGCAAGCAGGTATAGTCGTTTGGCAGCCCTATATAATATCCCGTGGATGTCATGTATATGGGCGGTGGGGTAGCCTAGTGGTCAAAGCGTTCACTCGTCACGCCGAAGACCCGGGTTCGATTCCCCACATGGGTACAATGTGTGAAGCCCATTTCTGGTGTCCCCCGCCGTGATATTGCTGGAATATTGCTAAAAGAGGCGTAATACTAAACTCACTCACTCACTCACTCATGTCATGTATATCCCTTTTCAGCCCTGTTTAGCTTGGCATTTAGGGGATGAATTAAGGTCTGGTCATCTCAGAGTTATTTGACTGATTGTGAGTGCAGTAGTCATGTTGAACCTTGCCATGGTCAGAGATTAGCACTACAAAACCAGCAATGTGTCCAGACTGGTACAAACAACCACAGGCACTCATTCATGCACATGCATGCAACTTGAAATATACATGTAATAGGGTCAAACAAAAAATGTTGTGGTTCCCATAACACCTCTTTAAAATTTAGGGTATACAGGTAGAGATTCTTTTTTTTTTTTTTACATTTTTTTTTAGAAGTAAAGTACGAACTAATAACACATTTATCGATGTGTAAGTGTTTATTCAATCAAGCTTGCGGCCATCATGTCAACTTTCTTTATCAGAATGACCAATGTCCGTTGGTGCCAGGAAAAAACAATAGTATCTGAAAGGTTATTTTTATTCATACCTCTAAAATGACTAGGGTCGGCACCAGAATTCAAGGGTCAGTCGGGTAATCGGAACCACAACAATTTTTTTTTGAGGCCTAATCTTAAATGCAATGTTAAACCCAATTTCACAAGGACACCAGAAATGGCATCACATATTTTACCCATGTAGCACGAAAACTAACATACAAGTGATTCACCTATTTGAAATCACCTCAACCAATATGAAATCACATTTACTTCTATCTTGCTTTATATGGGTCGAAGACATGAATGATTGATTATTTTTGTTACATTTGTAGCCATGTGTCAGTGTATATTATAACACCGTTTTCACTTCAGCAATTAAGGTTGGCTATTTCTGTTCCAGTCTGCCTGGACACGTCTGCTGTTCTGCACTACAGGAATAATTCTTCGACAACTGGAAGGTGACCCTAACCTTGAGGGCGTTACACATCTGGTTATTGATGAAGTACATGAACGATCAGAAGACAGGTCAGAATGCTAGAGTAACTTCAATCATTTCTAACAAGTATTCAGCTGTGTAAATATGAACTTGAAATTTGACAAATTATGGATGATCATATTACATTATTGTCAGTGACTTCAACGTTATGTGATATTTCTCTTTATTACCCACGTGGTCAACGAGTGGGTAGTTGCATACTAATCTCGTACGTCACACGAGTGTCATATCGCGTTGACCTGTGTCGTAACGACTTGACCTGAGATTCTAAGGATTTGATTGGATAACTGATGACCTCTCAGTTAGGTCATGTTGTGACGGAACTACTTGTTCATTCATAACAAACACGTGAATTCATTCATTCTACAACTTAGATGCATTGTGGGAATGTAAACATTGCGAACTTTGCCGTGTTGCTGTTTAATTGTGAGTCTTACTGAGACATTATATCCGTCGAAAAACATAAACGCAATGTTTCCACCAGTGATGTTACCCGAGTGAAGACGTTGCAAACCAAGAAACGGGGTGCTACGGAGTAGTTTACTGTAGGAGGCTGTACAAGAGGCGATGACAACTGACATGCATCATGACGTCGGTTACCAAGGGGACAGACGAGAATGGCGCAGTGACGTCAATACAGTTTGACGTCATGCAAAAGTGTACTTCAGAACAAAATTCTTCCGCAACCTCTTTATGAAACCGGTTTCGGTTTGAAACCATAACAATAACAAAAATACGCTATTTTGTCAATTCAATGTATGTAAGACGTGGGTAATAAATAAAATACCACACTCGGTCTCATTACATACGAATTATACGAAACTCGTGACCTTCCTATATAGGAAGGACACTTGTTTCGTATAATTCGTATGTAATGAGACCTCGTGTAGTATTCTCCATATAGACAATGACTGTGTTACGTTTGTATAAAACTCATTAACTTCTCTTACAAGGCTGTGGTATTAGCTTCTTATTTCAAGATTATTTTTCCTTATCCTGACTCATGATCTTTGCCTATCTCCCTTTCCATGCGAATGGTAGTGGAACACTTGAATCCTTTGTAGTTCCCTGAAGCGGACGTAAAAATACACTCACCCACGAGTTACCTCCCTTTTCCCGCGCAAACAGTCATGTGACCAGCCTTACTTGTCACTCTCTCCCTTTTCGCTCAAGCGATGGTTGGGCAAGCACTGGAGTCCCGTATATGGCATATATCCTTTATATTTAGATCCTATTTATCAAAATTACGCTGTGTATGGTATTTGGCTATAACTATCATGTATTATTTGTATAAAATTTGAAGAAATTATTGTAATTTGTGTCGTGTTCCTGGAGTGACAGATTTACCCAACCGCTACTTAGAGCGCCTACCATCTTCGGAGGTGAGATAGATGAAGCAGCTAAGGAAGCTACTCACGACTCAAGGGAAGTCATAATGATCAAGTCTATAGATACTCTAGCCAACGTCATTCATCATGCTTCACAGAAATACAACAGCAAGTCGAAATATTCTGGTATCCAGAAGGCTAAGGAGAAGAAATACTCCAGCTTCAGAGGTGGGATAAGCTCTTTTCGTCGCCCATCCGGAAACTACAGAGGAAACTCAGGGAGAGGACGTACTCTAAGAGGTTTCAAAGGGGCTAGACGTTGAAATTGGGGTTCGGAACGACTGGATGCTTCCACTCCCAGCCATTCCTGTACAACCATCGACAGTGGGTGGACGTCTACAAAGGTACTGGGAAAATTGGGGAATCCTGGAGGACAACTACATCTCTCAAGTACTGCGAGAAGGGTACAGAGTGCAGATCAAGGCCACACCACCGTTAACCCTCAGACCGATGCTCTTCAACTATGCAGACGAGCAAGCAGACAAGCTACAAGAAGCCATTAACTTGCTTCTAACCAAGAATGCGGTAGAGAGAATAGATCAACATCATCTCACACCAGGCTTCTACTCCCCAATTTTCCTAGTACCCAAGAAGAATTCCAAAGAGAAATTCAGGTTGATTTACAACATGTGGAAATTCAACCAAGACTATCTACTCAAACTGGAAAGGTTCAGAATTATCCACCTACCCCTACTCAGACTACTAATTCTTCCAGCAGATTATATGGCCAGCATAGACCTCCAGGATGCATATCTACACATCCCCATACATCCGGAATCAAGAAAATGTCTACGATTCCTATTCAGAGGTCAGCACTTCCAATGGAACGTCCTACCGTTTGGAATATCGTCGTCTCAGTGGTTATTCACATGAATAACCAAGCCCATAGTCGCCTACCTACATCATCGAGGTCTACGCAATGCCTTTTACCTGGACGACGGCATACAGGTTCATCAAAGTGCCAATCAACTCAGACAGCAGCTGAACTTCATAATCAAGTTGCTCACGCAACTAGGATGGCTAGTGAACCTGATGAAGTCGGAGTTGGAACCAAAACAAGATCTGCAATTCCTGGGGATAAGATTTATCACGACACAGAATCGAATTGTGACCCCAGAAGATCGTTGGGTCAAGATACAAGCCATGATTCCTCAAGCAGTCATCGCTCCGTTAACACTAAGAACATATCGGTGTCTACTCGGTCTACTAACCTCTGCACAAGACTTGACTCGCACAGGAAGGTTACAACTACGTCCATTGCAATGATTCCTGGCAAAACATCTGGACAGCGTCAACCCTATCTTGCTACCAGAAAATCTCAAAATGTACCTACTTTGGTGGACTCACAGGTTGAATGTCTGCGGAGGGACCTATTTACAAGAGCCGACCTTTGACACACATCTTTACGCAGATGCATCGCTACAGGGATGGGGTGCACATCTCAACAACCAAGTTGCATCAGGGAAGTGGTCAAAAGCAGAACAGCATCTTCACATCAATCTGCTGGAAATGAAAGCTGTGATCAACGCCGTACAACTATGATTGAGTTCGCTGAGCAACAGAATGCTGATGGTCCACACGGACAACTCTAAAGTGGCATTTGCCATAAATCGGCAAGGATCAACAAGATCACCAAGCCTACTGCAGCTCACATTCCAGTTGTTCAACATCACAGAGGATGCAAACATCTGGATAAAGGCGTGTCACATACCGGGAGCCAAGAACGTACTAGCAGACGCTATTTCCGGACCACTACACCCGTCATCCACGGAATGGATGCTCCATCCAGAAGCGTTCCGGCTCATTATAAGGAAAATAGGATCCCCATGCATAGACCTGTTCGCCACGAGGTTCAACAAACAACTACAGACGTTTGTCTCACCAGTACCAGACCCCCAAGCCTGGGCAACAGATGCACTGAGTATATCATGGGAAGGACTAAATGCATACGCATTTCCACCTCCGATCTTACTACCGAAAGTACTGTTGAAGATCAAACAGACACAAACGCTACAACTGACATTGGTCGCGCCCTATTGGCCAGCAAGAGTCTGGTTCCTAGACCTAATAGAAGATCTCGGAAGTCCAATCCTCAAACTACCAGAATGGCCAAACCTACTCAGACATCCGCACACCAAGGAAGTCCACAGGAACCCAACATTGTTCCAGCTACACGTGTGGACCATATCAAAACCTGTCTGAAGAAAAGAGGATACTCTGCCAGAGCAGCAAAAGCAGTAATCTTAGCGTTACGCAGAGCTACTCGCAATTTGTATGACAACAAATGGCAGAAATTTGAACAATATGCAAGGCGGAGAGGCTTCACAGCTATGAAAGCTTCTGAAAGGTTCGACATTATCCACATATCTGGCAGCCATCAGTACAGTCGTCACTATGAAGTCAGGCATCAAATTGACGAAAGTACCATAATTACTTGCTCTGCTGTGATCTTTTAAACTGGAGGACCAGCAAAAGAAATTCAGAGCACCAGCCTGGGATCTGAATGTAATTCTACGACATCTCATGAGCGATGCCTACAAACCTCTACAACAGACTACGTTTGAGCTACTCACACAGAAAACTCTGTTCCTACTTGCCCTAGCCACGAGAGCTCGAATGTTTGAGATACATGCGCTAGACTTTGGACGAACTAGATTCGACACGGGGCACCGTGCTGCAGTACATCTAGGACTAAGATGGGACTTTATTGCAAAGAATCAACTACCTGGTCAACCAGATAGACAGTTCCATGTGCCAGCGCTATCTACGATCCTCGGATCAGAGGACACCCATGACATATCCTTGTGTCCTGTCAGAGCCTCGAAGATATATCTTCAAAAGACTAAAACAAGGAGAAGAAAATTCAAGCGCCTATTCATCCCCTTGTCAATGGAGACATCAGTGGAGGTCTCAAGAACGAACATATTGTTTTGGATGAGAGCCGTTACTATAAGAGCCTACAAAGCAGCAGGATTAGAACCTCCAAGAGCTTCCAACCCACACGAAGTCAGCGCACTGGCGTCAACACTTGCTCTGCATGGAAATTGCTCTATATCATCAATTATGGAGGGCTGCTTCTGGAAGTCAGATATGGTGTTTGCCAACCACTACCTCCGATACATAGCCAACGAAGACGTCTCAGGCATTCACCAGTTTGGGCCTCTTGTTGTAGCACAACAACTCTAGACTAGACAGTCTAGACTAGGCTAGCATGAGTGATTAAGACTCTGTACGGGTAAAGATCTTACCTGTACGTAAAGGGGTCACAACTCATTTATGATAAAGATCTTATCATAATCTATGGGTTGTTATAGATAACTAGTAAAAAGAAGATACTAGTATATCTTAAGCCACATGAATCTAAAAGATTCACTTGTCTGAGAGAGAAGTAAGACAAGATTGTGGTCCCCCCGAGTTATAACGGAAGTTGGAAGAATAGGATCTAGGAAATGCCGTTACGCAGTTCCCATGGTGTGTGTGTGTGTGTGGGGGGATACAGGACGTATCTATGGACAGCTGTTGAATCCAGGAAGTGGCTTGACCCACCACCAATCCGTAGGATTCTATAAGCAAAGATCATGAGTCAGGATAAGGAAAAATATGTAATTTTTAAAGTAAAATTGATATTTTATACTTATCCTGACTCATGAGGAGAAGCCCTCCCAACCTCCCCGCTGGAAACACTTCGGATTTCACAGTAGATCCAGGTGCATGGGCAGAAAATCAGGAGAGAGTGACAAGTAAGGCTGGTCACATGACTGTTTGCGCGGGAAAAGGGAGGTAACTCGTGGGTGAGTGTATTTTTACGTCCGCTTCAGGGAACTACAAAGGATTCAAGTGTTCCACTACCATTCGCATGGAAAAGGGAGATAAGCAAAGATCATGAATCAGGATAAGTATAAAATATCAAGTTTACTTAATAAATTACATTTTTCAATGTCATTTCAGTGACTTTCTAATAATGATATTGCGTAACCTCTTGCGAGTCCGACCTGACCTCAAAGTTATACTGATGAGTGCGACCTTGAATGCTGATCTGTTTTCTCACTACTTCAAGGAGTGCCCAGTCCTGGAGATTCCTGGTAGGTTAACCAGTTAAAAGATTACATACAGGATATTTTAATATGAAAAGTCTTTCCATGAAAACATATGTCCTAATGCAAACGATTCTTTTACCATCATTACCCAAGATAATGTTTGCTTCTCTTTTTCAATCACAGTAACCGCAACTAAGAAGACAATGTAGCATACAGAGAGCTATTATGAATTTATGATGTACCCACTTGGACAGAAACCTTCCAGTCAATATATCACAATATATATTGCAATATCTCTTGAATTATTGCAATATATCTCAATATGAGAATCAGGGCAATATCCAGCCCTACTTTATGTTGAGCCTTGATCATTCACCTGGAAAATTATGCAGGACTACCCTGTCATGTATTCTGAGAAATAGCTTCAAAAGTTGATGAACCTGTCGTTTCTGCTTTGTTCGGCATTCAAGAGAGTAACCAACAAAGCATACAGTTGGTAATGGAAAACAGGTTTTTGTTTATTACTTAGAGCAATGAAGAATCTTTCACTGATTTTTACCTCAAAGTTATATCTAAAGTGAAATCTACATTGAATTGTCGGTCTTCGCAAGAAACAAGAAGTTGTTATACATAACGTTGTTTACTTTGTTATTGTTGTGTCTTGCTTCACTTCCTCAACATGCAGCTGCTTGCGGAAGCCTGGGCCTAGATATTCGAAGGTCTCTTAGCGCTAAGATAGTTGTAACTGCCATACAGTTACATTAACTTACGACGATCTTAGCGCTGAGAGAGCTTTGAAAATCTAGGCCCTGGACTTTAACATGTGTTAAACACATGTCTATTTGTTGTCAGGGAGAACCTTCCCAGTTGACCAGTTCTTCTTGGAAGATGCCATTGAATATACTCGGTAAGTAGAGGCACTTCATTCATTGTCATGGCAGATACTGCTTATTTTCATCAATGAGATGTGAACTATACGAAAAAGTTATTGTCATGGTTTGGGGTTAATGCAAGTTGTTATTTCTTGGCCATCATCATTGAAAGAAGTAATACTTGACCCAGTTATCAGGTTGATTGCATGCTTTTGTTTGTCAGTGGTGGGAAAAACTGATCAGAATATGATTTATCAATAACTGGATCGTCTGGTCCCAACATGATTATTTTTAGGGGGCTGTCATATAATTTAAGAAGATTGTGGTCAGTTTCTGACCTGTGTTATTGCACCACTCAATTGAGGATTATTGTCATGTGAAATGAAGCAGTTATGTCTATTGCCTTGAATCAATGCATGACGATTAGGATTACAATTGCAGGTTCGTTATGGAAGAGAATTCTGCCTTTGCCCGTCCAATCAAGCGAAGCAATGCCATGCGTGCCCAGCCAGGTAGAGGTCAAGGTCGTATATCGGTAGATGACATTCATGATGAACTGGAGGAGATCGGAAACACTGTGATGGTGGAGCCAGCCAAGGACAACATCAGAGATGATAACCTCTCAGTCAAGCAACTCTTCTACAGATACAGTGGTACGAATCTGAATAAACATATTTACAACCTTTCAGTCAAGCATCTCTTCTACAGATAGAGTGGTACGAATCTGATAAATATATTTACAACCTTTCAGTCAAGCATCTCTTCTACAGATACAGTGGTACGAATCTGAATAAACATATTTAAAACCTCTCAGTCAAGCAACTCTTCTAAAGATACAGTGGTACGAATCTGAATAAACATATTTACAACCTTTCAGTCAAGCAACTCTTCTACAGATACAGTGGTACTAATCTGAATAAACATATTTACAACCTTTCAGTCAAGCAACTCTTCTACAGATACAGTGGTACGAATCTGAATAAACATATTTACAACCTTTCAGTCAAGCAACTCTTCTACAGATACAGTGGTACGAATCTGAATAAACATATTTACAACCTTTCAGTCAAGCAACTCTTCTACAGATACAGTGGTACGAATCTGAATAAACATATTTACAACCTCTCAGTCAAGCATCTCTTCTACAGATATAGTGGTATGAATCTGAATAAACATATTTACAACCTCTCAGTCAAGCATCTCTTCTACAGATATAGTGGTATGAATCCGAATAGTTGTGAAAAGTTGTGGTAATAGAATCCATGGGGATTCCAAGTCCTGTGGATTGTAAAACTGATAGATTGTAAGAAATGACTTAATGATTCGGCACCTATTGGTGGAAGCGTTCGCTCGTCACGCCAAAGACCTGGGTTTGATTCCTCACATGGCTACAATGTGTAAAGCCCATTTCTGGTGTTCCCTGCTGTGATATTCTGGAATATTGCTAAAAGCGGCATAAAACTGAAACTCACTGATTTACTCACTTAATGGTTTGGATGGTCAGGCTGACTGCAGTGTAACTCAACATTCACTTTGTTTTCTCATCAATTTGTTCTAGAATACCGCAAGTCCACTATCAAAGCTATGGCTATTATGGACATGGAGAAGATCAACTATGACCTCATTGTAGCTATACTGGAGTGGATTGTGGATGGGAAACATGAGGTAAGCCACTTGAAACTCACTGAGATAGGTTAATGCTGCTTGAAAATTTGTAACCATAAACAAAACATATCATAGTGATATTGTAATGTATTGACGGTGATTGTAGAATGAATCATAACTGATCACTGAAGATAGGAACTATATGTTCATATAGTATTGTGTTATTACACAGCTCATACAGTAGATACAGTACAACAGACATATACAGGTTTGCAGCATCCATTGCTTTAAAGGGGCGGTGGGGTAACCTAGTGTTTAAAGTGTTTACTTGTCACGCTGAAGACGCGGGTTTGAAGACTCTAAAGCGTTTGCACGTCATCCCGAAGACTCGTGTGCCCACATGGGCACAATGTGTGAAGCCCATTTCTGGTGTCCCATGTTGTGATATTGCTGGAATATTGCTAAAAGCGATGTAAAACCAAACTCCTTACTCAATCATCCATTGCTTTAAAAAATATATGAACTCCAGTGGTAATATGGACATTGAAATACCTTCCTGTTGTTGCAAAGATGTTGAGAATTGTCAATGAGAGGTTATTGGACAAAATTTGTCCTGTTTTCAAGGCTTGTGTTGTAAACTTTACTTTCAGTATCGCAAAGATGGAGCTGTTTTAATCTTCTTGCCTGGTTTTGCTGAGATACAGACTTTGTATGACATGCTGATGACAAGCAAAGAGTTTGGGAGCAGGAATAGGGGCAGGTGAGTGTGAGCATGGACAAGGGGAAGTGTGTGGGAACAGGAAGTGGGGCAGTGTGTGTGAACAGGAAGTGGGGGAGCTAGTGGGAACACAGATATGTGATATATTTAAGGCCAATAACACTTTTAATGAGATAATTAGGCAATTATCTCCATTATTTTATCATTGCAATTTCTTGGAGCTTTTGAAAGCGTAGTATAAATGAGTTCTCACACATCCTTTGTTCAGATACAAGATAGTGCCTCTTCATTCATCTTTATCCAGTGAGGATCAGCATGCTGTGTTTTCGTGAGTATGATATCTGAAACCCTTCATGAATATTATTCTTGAGTAAGAATTTATGTTTTTCAGTGTAAGTAATAGCTAAAGAACAGATTTCAAGTGTAGACATATTATTGAAAAGTTCTGGTACTTTGCTTTGTATGATACTATTGGGATCATTGTTGGAACATAATGAGCAGAGTGCTGACCTCTGACAGTATCCCTTGGGTTCAAGTCACTCAACTGACTTGGTTGTACTCCATGGTCTTTCTGCACTGTTCTCATGTGATTCATGTAGGTAAAGTTATCTATTAAGACTGTAAATTGTGAGACTCAGTATGTTACTGTTTCAGTCGACCCCGAGAAGGTGTCACTAAAATTGTGATATCCACCAACATAGCGGAGACATCCATCACTATCGATGATGTTGTGTATGTCATTGATGCAGGGAGGATGAAGGAGAAGAGGCAAGTACAGAATGTGTTATAATAAAATCCCATCCTCTGTATCTCCAGGGTTTGCAGTTTGGTGAACCTACCCTTAGTAGCAGTACCCGTGAAGATTTGGGTTAGAATTAAAATATTGATCTTCAGCAACGCATGCTTGTCTTAAGAGGCGACTAACGGGATCGGTGGTCAGGCTCGCTGACTTGGTTGACACATGTCATCGGTTCCCAGTTGCATAGATCGGTGCTCATTATGTTCATCACTGGATTGTCTGGTCCAGACTGATTATTTACAGACCGCCAACATATAGCTGGAATATTGCTTAGTGCGGCATAAAACAACCCCAATGACCTAAAGGGGCAGCGGGATAGCCTAGTGGTTAAAGCGTTTGCACGTCATCAGCGTTTGCACATCATCAGCGTTTGCAGACATGGGTACAATGTGTGAAGCCCATTTGTGGTGTCCCCCGCCTTGATATTACTAAAAGCGGCATAAAACCATACTCACTCACTCACTCACACACTCCAATGACCTCATGTTTCATTTCACAGACAATAATAGTTTTCAGTGTATGGCATTGTAAATATACTGAACATCATTGAAAATGCACCACTTATAAAAGTTCAGATTATTAAAAGCACGTGTAAGGAATTGATATTTTTGGAGTGGATAATAACAGATGAACGACTGACAAAAACAACAACACAGAAAAGACACTCATTCATTGAAATGTTCCACAGTCACAAAGGATCAAACACACGTGGGTCAAATCGAAAAGTCAATATCGCGTGTGACCGCCATTTGCATTGACACATGCAGTTCAACGTGTCCTCATTGAGTCAATAAGCGTCATAATACTGCATGGAAAGTCTTGTTGTGTGTGCCCGTGCGTTGTCCTGTTGAAGAGTATGGACATCTTGGTGGTGATTGAAGACAGATATGATGTTATTCTGAAGTATCTGCTCACGGTAATAAAGGGCATTAACTCTCCCTTGACAGACATGAAGGCAGTCCTGTGATTGTAATTTATTCCACCCCAGACCATGACACTCCCACCACCCAAAGGTCTGTCTGAACCACACACTCATCAGCATAACGTTCACCACGTCTACGCCAAACACGTAATCTGCCGTCAGCATTATGTAGATGAAGACGTGACTCGTCAGTGACTACCACGCCATGCCATTGTGGTAACCTTTACTGAAAATGCCTGCTAGCCCATTGTATACGCTCATTACGGTGTCTGTCAGTCAGAATTGGTCCAACGTAAGGACGTTGAGCATGGAGCCCTGTAGCGGTAGACGGCGCCGCGATGGAGTCGGTGCTGATGACCCCACGAACCTTGAACTAGTGCAGCAGTCCTGGCAGTCGGCAGTGTTCAATCACTGATGTGGACATGGTCAATATGGCGATCCTGATGGAGCATCATAACACGTTGTTGCCAAGGTAATTGAAGGTCACGGGTGCTGCCTGTCTACTGATGTCGTCTATGAAGCCTAATGATGGTGGAGTGGCCAAGTCCAAGTTGTCGCATGCAATATCCCTGCTGCTGGTGCCAACCTGAATCATGCCTAGTGCACTTCTCTTTCGTGAGGTGTTAACCTCGGCATCTCTGTCCTCGTTTCACAATGAGAATCGGTTCTCATACACCTGCTTTTAATGTCACAGTCAGTATGAGTTCAGAATGAAATTTGGGCTTTTTTCATGGCGTGGCTGCATGTTGATACATTTTGGAATTAAGAGTCATACTGTGGACAGGAATTTGTTTCTCAAGCATTTTTTCAACTGGACATGCCCTTCGACTTCATGTTAGTTATATTCATTGATCATTGTCATGCTGAAATCCATCTTGATGAAAATATGGACAATTTTAGACTGGTGCGTTTTCAGTGATGTTCAGTATATAAGGAGTGAGGTATTGTCACATAATGCATATTAAACTTATTTATGCATGAAATTTGTGGCTATTATTGTTGATAGTATTGGGTTAATGCTGATGATTCTACGAGGTCATCAACAATACTGCAATGTTGTCTGTACAGGTATGACTCCTGCAAGGGGATGGAGAGTTTGGAGATGGTGTAGGTGTCTCGTGCCAACGCCCTACAGAGGAAAGGTCGAGCAGGTCGTGTGGCATCGGGTGTCTGCTTCCATCTCTTCACACAACACAGATTTGAACATCACCTCCGCCCTCAACCCATACCTGGTCAGTTAGTAAGAGTACATTGTCTACCTGGATGTACCTGTATGTACCTGGTCAGTTAGTGATGGTACATTATGTACTTGTATCACTATGTAATTGTATGTAATTGGATGTACCTGGTCAGTTAGTGACAGTACATTGTGTACCTGTATGTACCTGGTCAATTAGTGATGGTACATTATGTACTTGTATCACTATGTAATTGTATGTAATTGGATGTACCTGGTCAGTTAGTGACAGTACATTGTGTACCTGTATGTACCTGGTCAATTAGTGATGGTACATTGTGTACCTGTATGTACTTGTATGTACCTGGTCAGTTAGTGATGGTACATTGTGTACCTGTATGTACCTGTTATACCTGTATCTATCTGTAGGTACCTGTTAAGTGACTGGGCTCTGTGTAATGTTATTGTGAATTGTGTATTTGCATGTCTGTTGATGAGAGTACATTATCCTCCTGTATGTACCTATATCTATCTGTACCTGATAAGTGAGTGAGGGTTGTATGATGGTAATAGTAAATTGAGTACCTTTATGTATGTGTATGGACATGATCAGGTAATAAATAAGGCTTGTTAAGTGGTAGTGATATTGTACCTGATTTACCTTGCAAGTCCTAGTAGACTTATCTGAAGAACTTCCTCTAGCCTGGTAGTTTGCTCATCGTGTAGATGACCCAGGTTTGACTTTCGATACTGGCTCAATGTATGCAGGTATGGTTATGGGCAATATTAGAATATGTGTACAATATAGGATGGATATGGATGGAGATAGGATGGTTAGAGATAGGGTGGGTAGGGATGAGATAGGATTGTTAGAGATAGGGTGGGTAGGGATGGGATAGGATGGTTAGAGATAGGGTGGGTAGGGATGGGATAGGATGGTTAGAGATAGGGTGGGTAGGGATGGGATAGGATGGTTAGAGATAGGGTGGGTAGGGATAGGAATGGATGGTTAGAGATGTGGGTGGGTATGGATGGGATAGGGTGATTAGAGATAGGGTGGGTAGGGATAGGAATGGATGGTTAGAGATGTGGGTGGGTATGGATGGGATAGGGTGGTTAGAGATAGGGTGGGTAGGGATAGGAATGGATGTTTAGAGATGTGGGTGGGTATGGATGGGACAGGAAGCTTAGATATAGGGTGGGTAGAGATAGGAATGGATGGTTAGAGATAAGGTGGTTAGAGACAGGGTAGGTAGGATGGGATAAGGTGGTTAGAGAGAGGGGTGGGTAGGGATGGGATAGGGTGATTAGAGATAGGGTGGGTAGGGATAGGAATGGATGTTTAGAGATGTTGGTGGGTATGGATGGGACAGGGAAGCTTAGATATAGGGTGGGTAGAGATAGGAATGGATGGTTAGAGATAGGGTGGGTAGGGATGGGATAAGGTGGTTAGAGAGAGGGTGGGTAGGGATAGGAATGGATGGTTAGAGATGTGGGTGGGTAGGGATGCGATAGGGTGGGTAGGGATGGAGATAGGATGGGTAGAGACAGTGTGGGTAGGGATGGGGTGAGGATTGGTACAGATAGGATTGGTAGGGAAAAAATTACAAGTTCAAAGACAGCTGACTTTAGACTATCACTGTCCAATCATGTCTTTTCAGAGATACAGCGGGCACCCCTTGAACAGATTGTCCTGAGGATCAAGATGCTTCCCTTATTTAAAAAACATGGAATACAGGTAACATTATGTTACATTTTCATGATCATGAAACTTAAGCAAATCAGGACAGCAGAAAATTGTTAAAATAGAAATGATGATATTAGTCATTCATATTTGACACGGTATAATTGTTCAAACTGATCCCTTTTATTATTTTGTCTTCCAAAGTCTAAATGCGGCTATGTATTCATGAAACTATTTGAGGAGTCACTGTTCTATCTACACAGGAGGTGCTCGAGAGCCTGCTAGAACCTCCCAAGGAGGATGCCATCCACAACGCCATCAAAAGACTGCAAGACCTTGGTGCACTCGATGACCTACAGGTAACAGGAACACAAAAGCTTTTGTTTTGATCACTGAAGACAAAAATATTATATTGAAGCTAACTTGTTCACTTTTTTCCAGTGAAGTTAATTGTGTTCAGCTTTATCTTCAAAGTGTTTCGATAAGCTTGAGTGTCAGCTCCAACTGATTAATTCATTATGGGATCCTCATAGACATTTTGGCTCATCTGTGTAACGATTGTGGACTAAAATGAACATTCAGTAGCATATCGTCATCTTTGAGTAATGAGGTGAGGTGAGGTGAAATTGGGTTTTACGTCGTGCTTGAGAATATTTCGCTCATATGACGACGTGCATGCGTTTTATAGTGCTAGCCCACTGAGATACCATGCCGCAGTGAAGCATGAATACCCCACTCAGACACATTATACTGACTCCGAGCCGACCAGTCCTTGTTGTACCCATTAATGCCGAGCGCCAGGCAGGGACTAACAAGTACCATATTTTAACGTCTTTTGGTATGACGCGGTCGGGGATCGAACCCCCGACCATCCGCTCTCTGGGCGGACGCTCTAACCACTACACCACGGAGGCGGTCTTTTGAGTAATGGAATGATTTTGAAATAGGAAACGCACTGAGTACGATTGTACTCAGCAGTAAGGTCCTCAAATTCATATTCCATTTGCAATGACATGTGTACATGATGCTGTTAATCTGTTGAAACATTGAATCCATTTTCACCATAAACTGAATGCTGATAGTTTACACTTGAACTCAGACTTTCTTTACAACTTGTTCATATGTATATTACTTGGAATTAACTTGTGACTGCATTTGTTTGATCACAAACTGACAATATAAAATCTATTTTCAAGGACCTTACTCCTCTAGGCTACCATGTGGGATCATTGCCAGTTGATGTTCGGTAAGTCACTTAGACCCTGTGTTTTCTGAGTATGCAGGGACAGGGAAATAGTATCTGTTAATATGTCTTAACCTTGGGTAATTTCATGGGTATTCTGGATTAGAACAGGCTCCCAGCAACTTTGGAGGGCATGGTGGGCGAGCTGGCTAAAGCGCCAGGCTAGTGATCCAGCGAGCATGAGGTGCCGGGATCGAGCCCACCTGTGACCGGGTGTAAAAACCTTGGAGTCAACTTTGTGTGCAGACTTTCAGTGTTGTCACAACCCCTAGTGTACAGTACACAACCCTGTGCACTTAAAAGAACCCACGAATCCGTTGGTATATGACCAGATGGTGGCCATATGAATACGTGCAAACACCTAGTTGCGGGTATAGCAACATGCAGTAAACTTGGACAAAATACTGTGACTATGTGTCCCAGTCCACCCAGCTGTGAATGGGTACCTCGTACGGATGGGAAAGCCGCAATAACTTGGTGTGCCTATCGGCTGCAAGAGTTGTATGCTCCCCAGGGAGTTGAGATTGATAATAAGATGTGCCGTTGAGATTGACATCCAATGATCAAGGGAAAAACTACCAGCGCCTTGAGCATGCACTAGTGCGTGGATATGTGCGCTATATAAATATCATATAATAATAACTTGTGCTGGTCATAAGAGGTGACCAAATGGATTGGGCGGTTACGGCATATAGTCAGTTTCTTGGTTGATGGTGTGTCATTGTACCCAGAGGGTGTGGAATGTAGCTCAAAGTATTGATCTGTGGAATTATTTAAGAGCTGGTTTCATGTAGCTGGAATATTCTAAATTTGAAGGTAAACAACAAACCAACCATGTGTCATTTTGCAGTATTTACATGGATACCTAATAAACAGTGGTTTACCCTTTAGTGAGTGCATATGACTGCAGTATATATTTGGGAACATTTTTGTATGTGCTGCAACTTCCTATGGAACATATCTCAGCTTCCTTGATCCTAATGCTAGGGGTTGTACCGGTAATCTGTGGGAGGCATGGTTGGTGCAGTCATGATTGTATGATTAAATTTGTTGTGTAGTGTTGTGGCCTTTGCCAATGCCAGATCTGCTGAATGGGTTTGAATGTTTAAAGTTGTGGGGATTAGTATCTTGTTTTGTCAACTCCTTGCCAATGCTTGTGGTGTCACTAAAGTGATGGACGTCTGTTACCTGGCATACTTAGGTGTTTCAACCTGTATACACCATATTGAAATGAAACAGTTTCTTGGCATTGTCACTCACTCTGTGTTGTGCTGACAGAATCGGGAAGCTGATGCTGTTTGGTGCCATCTTCCGTTGTCTGGATGCTGCTCTCACTATAGCTGCAACACTCAGCTCCAAGTCACCATTTGTAAGTAATGCATTGACTGTTTATATATCTGAGGCTATTATGATAACAGCTGGATCAGACATAGGGATATGCAATGTCAAGACAGCTGACAGGTAATCTAAGGAACTGAGCAGTGTTACCTCTAGTTACAAGTATTATCTAAGCATCAAGTGAATGATGATAAATGCACAGGTGTTGGGCTATACCATGAAGCATAAAGCACATCAAGGGGTAGTGAATGTTGTATGATGCGTAAAATTTGGCTTATCTATGGTCAGTAATTTACTTAGCTGACTGATTTCATTTCAGGGATAAAACATAGATCGGTCGATGCAGCCAATATATTGAGTCAGTCTAACATATCAATGTTAACAGGGGTGGAAATAACTTTAAAATTGCTAGTGTACACCGGTACAGTGGCACATGTAAAATCACTTGCCCTGATAATTTTTCCTCTATACCGGCCGATTTTCTTGTTGATTGTTTAAATAAACAACATAATTAACATTGGAAAGTCAACTGGACATTGGTACAGCGTGATATACAAATTTGCTTGCCCGACTGGAAAAAACACTGGACTCGGGTGTCGGGCAATGGGTTTTTTCCACCCTTGGTTAAATGTCTGAAGCCCAGTGTCTCGTGTATGGTGCTGTGATATTGCTGGAATATTGCAAAAAAGGTGTGAGCTCTTTATATATATATATATTCATTTCTAAAGGAAATGCTGATTGCTATTGACTGTTGAAATGAAAGTATGAATCTGTACAACTGGCGCTGTTGTTTTAGGTTTCTCCATTTGACAAGAGGGATGAAGCCGACAAAAAGAAGCTGGACTTCGCTGTGGGCAATTCTGACCACTTGACCATGTTGAATGCTTACATGGTGAGTTGTGTAGTGTATATGGTTAATGGGCATTACTCTCCCCATGGGGATGTTTCAGGAAGTGTTGAATCTTGCTTCAAGAGAAAAATATGCAACAATAACTGATCCAGTTCTTTTTGTGCTGCGGAAACCAAACAGCAGATCAGTTTTCTGTTGTTCTGTTCTGATAAACCATAATCCCACTCATATTTTGTCTTCTACTAAAACCTCAGTTTATGAATCCTATGTATTGTGCAAAGGCCATTGTGTTTCATTTGTTTTTCCTAAGGCAGCTGGAATATGATATTTCTTCTTTACAGGGCTGGATCGATGCAAAGGAAAGAGGTTCACACGCCCAGTATGTCTTCTGTCGGGAGAACTTCCTGTCCATGAAATCACTGCAGGTAAGTTAACATCTCCCTGTATTGTTTGATGAAGTCAGGGTCATGTCCCATTAGTCATACCCCCACTAGTCATACCCCAAATAGTCACATGCCCATTAGTCATACCCCACTAGTCATACCCCATTAGTCATACACCCACTAGTCATACCCCCATTAGTCATACCTCCATTAGTCATACACCCACTAGTCATACACCCACTTATCATACACCCACTAGCCATACACCCACTAGTCATACACCCACTAGCCATACACCCACTAGTCATACCCCCATTAGTCATTCGCCCACTAGTCATACCCACATTAGTCATACCCACACTAATCATACCCCCATTAGTCATACGCCCACTAGTCATACCCCCATTAGTCATACCCACACTAGTCATACCCCATTAGTCATACCCACACTAATCATACCCCCATTAGTCATACCCACACTAAAACAACAACAGGCATATACCCTTTGCGCAAAATGGACTAGCCCGCTTGAGAGCTTGAGGTTAGTTTAATCTCTAACACTGAGAATGCCACAGTCTGTGGAAATGAAAACATATAAATGAATGTTATTAAAGTAATTACAATGTTATTACATTGAAGTTATATGAACATAATACACCACAACTGAAAATTGCAAAATCAAGGGATTCATTCCAAAAAAACAAAAACTTAAAACACACCTATTCAGACAATGTTTTAGCTTTGAATCGTCGAAACAAAGGTAGTTGTTGGTGCAGTCAACCATACCATATGTTGTTTTAACCCGTATGACTAGTGGGACATATGACTAATGGGAGGACACCGAAGTCAGAGTAGGGCTAAAGTTATCTTGATAAGTTGATTGTGTTTTGTTTCATGATACATGATATAAACATGGTATGATAAAAATGTGATTGTTGATATGACACATGATACATACTATGAAACATGATATGAAATTAGATGTGAAACAAGATGTGATGCACAATTTGACACGCGATAAAAGACATGATGTGATACAAAAGTTTGATACTCAGTATGAAACATGAGGTGTTATTTTGAAACTCAACACGTGTCTGTCAAGGATCTGATCTAAGACAAACTGCTCTCAATCCAATCAAGTTGGTGTTGCAGCAAGAAGCAGTTAAAGTGTTCTCAATAGAGCTGGAGTTGGGGGTGCCTCTGGACAGGAATTGATGAAATAAAATAACCATATTGTGATAGTGTGAATTTACTTTGTTAACCATATTATGACAGTATGAATGTAGTTTGTCTTGTTCTTGCTGCATCTATGATGAAGGTTGCACTATTTTCTATGACCATTGTCAGATACTGTGTGAAGTCTTTGTGAAAATCTGTTTGAAGATGCTGTGCAGTTTGAAGCAGCAGTTTGTGGAGCTGTTGTCCGATATTGGGTTTGTGAAGGAGGGGGTGACACTGAGGGACGTGGAGAGGGCATCCCGGATGGGAGGTAGAGATGGAGTGTTGGAGGCCACAGGACAGGAGGTGAGAGTGTCAGATGGTCTGGTAGTGTTTGTGAAGAAGGGGGTTACACTGTGGGACGTGGAGAGGGCATCCCGGACGGAAGGGAGGGATGGAGTGTTGGAGGCCACAGGAAAGGAGGTGAGTGTGTCAGATGGTGAGGTAGTGTTTGTGAAGGAGGGGGTGACACTGAGGGTCGTGGAGAGGGCATCTCGGACAGGAGGGAGGGATGGAGTGTTGGAGGCCACAGGACAGGAGGTGAGAGTGTCAGATGGTGAGGTAGTGTTTGTGAAGGAGGGGGTGACACTGAGGGTCGTGGAGAGGGCATCTCGGACAGGAGGGAGGGATGGAGTGTTGGAGGCCACAGGACAGGAGGTGAGAGTGTCAGATGGTGAGGTAGTGTTTGTGAAGGAGGGGGTGACACTGAGGGTCGGAGAGAGGGCATCTCGGACAGGAGGGAGGGATGGAGTGTTGGAGGCCACAGGACAGGAGGTGAGTGTGTCAGATGGTGAGGTAGTGTTTGTGAAGGAGGGGGTGACACTGAGGGTTGTGGAGAGGCATCTTGGAGGACAGGAGGGTGGAGGTGTCATGGAGTGTGTGGAGGCTACAGGACAGGAGAGGCCCGGACAGGACAGGAGGTGAGTGTGTCAGATGGTCTGGTAGTGTTTGTGAAGGAGGGAGTGACACTAAGGGTCGTGGAGAGGCATCCCGGCGGGAGGAGGGATGGAGTGTTGGAGGCTACAGGACAGGAGGTGAGTGTGTCAAATGGTCTGGTAGTGTTTGTGAAGAAGGGGGTTAGACTAAAAGACATGAAAAGTTAGCTCCGACCTGAGCTGAAGCCCATTCCAGGCGTCCCGTGTCATGACATTGCTGGAATTTTGCTAAAAGTGGCGTAAAACAATACCCACTCACTCAGGACCAAACCAAGGAACTGTCTTGATATTTGCTTGTGTTACAGGCCAATGTTAACTCTAAGAACTGGAAACTTGTGTCAGCAGTGCTAGTTGGCTCCTTGTACCCAAATGTCGTCCAGATCCTCGTCCCTGAGACCCGGTACAGTCAGAGCAGTGGAGGTATGACATCGTCCACAGAATCACTCTTAAGTTATGTTTTACACTTCAAGCTGTGTTTTTAACTTCCAAATCTGTCTTTGTCTAGTGGCACTTGAATGATTATTGTTTCTTTGCAAATTCTCTGGTTAGGTTGGAAAAAAAACATAACACTGTATAGATTGATGATTTGAATACACTGATTTACAGACAAGTATCTATTGTACAGTTTTATTGTTTGAATGAGCCCCTATTCAGATATAATCTGAGTTCACCATTACACTGTTGCTGTTTGCGTATACATGTATTTCTTTCTAAGCAGCCTGTGTGGTTCCTTCAGATTACAGTGACATCACACATCTGTCAGTGACCAATTGTGAAGCTCTGGTTTATCTGCAGTGATATTTCTGGGCTATTGCTAAAAATGTACAACCATTCTCACTCAGTGATATATTATGACTTTCTGTGTGTTTCCCAACTAAGCGCCCAAGTTTATCTGAATTAAATTGCCTGTGGTCTTTTGTGCCTGAGTGTGACATCAGCTCTACTGGAGGCTCTCATAAAATGTCCATCATTGTCATCAAGTTTATGAGTGTGTGATTTATTGACCAGGAGCTGTTGTGAAAGCCCCCAAACCAGAGGAGATGAAGTTCAAGACCAAAATGGATGGCTATGTAAGTTACTTTTATTGCTGTCTGATTATGTTTGTAGATATTGATAAAAAAAATTCTATAATACTCACACTTTGTACCTGTATGAGCCATTAGCACCAAGTCCGGGTTTATATTTACTTTGGTCTGAGAAACTGAGCTGATCATAGTCAGTATATTCAGTTTCTGATGATGATGATGATGATGATGATGATGATGATGATAAAGAAGAAGATGGTGAACACAAAGAACATGTGTAAAAATATATTTACTTTTAATACTGATTTTCATGATCTCTTTTTTGGTAGGTATCAGTTCATCCTTCATCTGTCAACTTCCAAGTACGTCACTACGACAGCCCATATCTGGTGTATCATGAAAAAGTGAAAACTTCAAAGGTTGGTAACACATCACTTAGTAATTAATAAGTCAAGATGTTATTTACTATGATATTCACGTTGGTTCAATTGTAGTTTTATTAGTATCCATTGATATAGAATTTCCCTGATACTGTGAAAACATTGTGTGGTGAAGTGATTGTTGTTGATGATGCAGGTGTATATCCGGGACTGCACGATGGTGTCGGTGTATCCGCTGTTGCTGTTTGGGGGTGGTGCCCTCTCCGTGGAGCTCAGCAAGGGTTCTTTTATCCTATCAGTGGATGATGGCTGGATACGATTCATGGCTAGTTCACATCAGGTACAGTCAATAATTCGCTAACAGTGTATTTTCCGGTAGCATATGCCCTTTGTAAAATAAAAAATGATGTAATCATCAGTTTAAGCCTTTTATCATTTAGATATGTACTGAGTAGAGGTGGTGATAAGGTCAAATAAAACATTGGGGAGGTGGGGTAGCCTAGTGGTTAAAGCATTCACTTGCAATGCCGAAGACCCAGGTTCGATTCCCCCCATGGGTACAATATGTGAAGCCCCTTTCTGGTGTGATATTGCTGGAATATTGCTAATTGGGGCGTAAAACTAACCTCACTCACTCAAAAAAACCCATCGTAAACTGCAAGTACAGGTATCAGATCTCTGCTGTCAGGTGAAGAACAGATCTTAAGGTAGCAATTCAACTCCTCACCACTGTAAATGTTTTGACACTTATTATATCACTTAGATTCACCAGTACTGTCCTGATTTCTTGAAATCTGTTTGGATTAACCAGACATACTTTGAGGGTTTTTTTTTACAAAAATGATTATTGGTCCTTGTCCAATAATAATGATATGTATGTATGGTGAATGTTAGCTGTGTTGTGGACCTCAGTATCTGTGTGTGTTTTAAACCTGCAGTATAATGTTTTCTTGGCACAGGTTGCGGAGCTTGTAAAGGAGCTGAAGAATGAACTGGACCAGCTGTTAGCTGACAAGATCAAGATGCCCAACATGGACCTGTGTACCTGTCCTCGGGGCAGCACAATAATCTCCACCATCGTCAAGCTGATCACTACACAGTAACATAGTAACAGTGACCCGTGAAGATCTGCTTTAGAACTGGTCTTCAGCAACCCATGCTGTAACGTGAGGGTTGACTGACTGACTGACTGAGTTTAGTTTTACGCCGCTTTTAGCAATATTCCAGCAATATCACGGCGGGGGACACCAGAAATGGGCTTAACACATTGTGCCCATGTGGGGAATCGAACCCGGGTCTTCGGCGTGGCGAATAACGCTTTAACCACTAGGCTACCCCACCGCCCCAGTGAGGGTTGAAGAGGAAGGACATATACAGTCATCCCTCGCAATAACGCCAGCGATACCGCTGGATTCGGTTAAACCGCTGGGTAATCCGTGGCTCCCATAAAAAGTTGCCCAGTGATCACACATATTCACGCGATCGAAAATAGCACATCAACAAATCCGCTGTTGAGCTCTGGTTAATCACGTAGTAAACAAGTGAAATTCAGTGCGGATTGCAATTAACAGTGCTTATCGTATATATCCATGTTTTTTCAGATGCTTAAAACATGCAGGGTCTTTTTCAATAATAATTGATGAACAGCGAAACATCATAAAGACATGTTGATTATCAGCCGAGTACTTACAAAGTTTGCTATGATGCAACACAACGGGTAATTGCGCGGGTATACACCGCCATCCGAGAATGTATGATGTCAGAAAACACATTTTATTTGATTAAATTCAATCCCATTTTCATTCATTAAAACTGTTTACAATAACAACGGAGAAACCGTGAGTGAAATGGCATTACCTCATTCCATACAACACCCGCTTATGTGAGGGTCCGTTTTTCGCGCCTACCGCGATAGCACCAATTTCACATTTTTCTCATCAATCACGAACAGATTACAGCCTTGTCATCCATTGACCCCAAGACCGTTATTGACTCGTTGAAGTCATATTTGACAATTAATTGCCAACATTTTGTTTTTACAATCAAAGTGGCACGTACCGCGGGAAGTCAGCGGTGACTTGTCAAACTGTCTCCTACGTAAAATGTATCCAGCCAGGTAACCCAAAGTGCTTAGCAATGCTTATTATTATGTTAAATATGTTCAGAGAAAACATGCATTATACTTATAATGATAGCAATATATAAGATCTCTGTTAGAATAACTGCTTGACATATCAATTATTCTGATAATGGAATAGAAATTCTTGGATGTTATATTTTCGATCGCTTTTAATGAATCACCGGGTACATTGGACCAAAACATCGATGTGTGCCCAGCTGATTGCTATTTCCGGCTTAGTTGAATAACAGGTAGCATGACAGGAACAACAATTGAATTATCATGTCTTGTGGTGTTTGATTGCAAGTTTCATGTACATACATCTATTTTTTATTTACAAAGTTGTTGTTTTTTTCACCTCCAACAATATGATATAGTTTTGACTGGGCACAATACACTTAAATAGCAATTTTGTTATGTCCATGGAAAATACGATTTTATTTGGCCTTTGTTCCGTGTTATGTAATCGCTTACTTATAACGCTGGTGTCTCTAATAACGCTGGTGGTCATCCATGGACCCCAAGACCCGCGTTATGGCGAGGGATGCCTGTATGTCCCTCCAGGGGGCTAAGACAAATTGAGGATGCCTATATGTTTGTAGTCGGACCTCTGAAAATGTGGCCCGTGAAGTTCCGGTTACAATTAGTCTTCAGCATACCATGCTTGTCGTAAAAGGTGACTAATGGGATCGGGTGGTCAGACACACTGACCTGACACTGACACATGTCATTGTATCCCAATTGTGTATATCGGTGCTCATGATGATGGTCACTGGATTGTCTGGTTGAGACTCGATTATTTATTGGAATATTGCTGAGTGCAGTGTTAAACAACAAACAAACAAACAAACAAAAACAAAAACACAGTAACAGTAGCTCCACTGTTATCCACAGCAGGACTTAGATGGGTTATCCAATGTAATACATCAACTAAACTCTGTGATAAGACTAGTCGGTGGTGGAGACATATTTGTGCACACCCCAGTGCTATTACTGCATTTAGAATTATTTGTTGTTTTTGTATAGTCTGTATAAGAATCAGAATATATATAATGTATAAACATACTGAAATTGTGCCTTATGTGGTAATTGGAAACCTGGACTCATGTCCATGGAAACAATGCTGAAGATTGAAGTTGGTGTTCTTCAGAACCCTTGGATATTTCTTCATGAGCCCTTAGGGACTGTTCATAATTTATGGCTAGGGAGGTGGTGATGATTTTATGGAGAAGCATGTACAATGTGAGTGAAAACACAACCCCCTCTCTCTCTCTCTCAAAAATTTATGTACAAAGTAAGTGACCCCCTGCATGTCATGTACAAAATCAGTGACCCCCATCCCTTCCCATATTTTTTAAGCATTAATCTTTAATAATGTTGTATACAAAATTGATGACCCTACCCCTAGTTAATGTGTACAAAAATTGATGACCCCCACCTCACCAGAACAAAATGGGTGACCTCCCTTAAAATCATCATCACCCCCCTAGCCATAAATTATGGACGGCCCCTTATCACCTTATGTATGTATCTTAATGGTGCTCCATGTCGTCAATGATTTGTTATATTGTATTGTATAAATTGTTATCAAGTTTAAGATGAAAGAATTCATACCAGATGGCTTTGCATGTCGTCAGATTATGTGTTTTTAGACATCAGTGCTTAATTGCCCTATAATGAGGCTGGTTGCATCACACAGACATTGTAAGTACAGATGATAGCTTGTATTTAAGATATAGTTGTGTTTTATAATATATCTTTTACAGTTCATGTGATCATCGAGAAACCAATGGATTTTCTTAAGCATCCAAAAAGCAATAACACGAGGAAGCTATCAGAGACTGTCTGCCTCATATGGTATCTGATTTATCCAAATAATTATGTTTGTAGAGACTAGTATGGGCTTGTTTGTCTTTACAAACATTTGGGTCATTGATCTGTATTCAGTGATTTCAGTTATATTATGACGCCCCCAGTGATTCAGGTTGCAGATGATAGTATGGTGGTGACAAGCTGTACATAGCTAACAGACCCGTGAAGATCTGGGTTAGAACTGGTCTTCAGCAACCCATGCTTGTTGTAAGAGGCGATTAATGAGATAGGGTGGTCAGGCTTGCTGACTTGGTTGACACATGTCATGCAATATTTGTCACATATGTTCATGAAGTTGGTGGTATGCTTGATATTGCTTGTATGAGATAAGAAGATATTGATGTTTTCTGCAGACAATCAATTGTAAGTTGATGTGTTGAAACTAAGTGAGTTTTTGTGGTAAATTGACGTTTTCCTAAACTTTCCCCCTGAAAGATTCTTGTCCTATAAAGTGGTAAAGGTAATGCTGATACTACTTGCCCTTAACTAGTCATATGGGTCAGCCGATCATGATGTTACATATATACATCCTGTAATTTGACATGTTTCAAGGGAGGAAATCTAATGCTCTTTAACATAGTATAGCAAACTTTCTGCAAAGAATGTTTGGGGAAATAACTTGCAAAAGGGTTACTTCCCTTTTATTATCAGGAAACAAATATACTTGGAAGAAATTAGACATCTATATAATTTGTTAATCTATATAAGTTTATTCCACTTTTGGGAAAATTTCACTTTTCAAATCAACTGACCATGTAAAATGCAACCTAAAATCAGTGTGTGTAAACAAAGGGTTAATATCACCATAAATTGGGTAAACAAAGGGTTTGTAAATATGGTGTGAGTATCAATATGTATGTGGAAAGAATTTGGAATCCTATTTTGTCCCAATTCTGTACATACCATCAATATTTATTTGAATTGTACAATGTGGCATAATTGTTCTTTTGTCAATTTACAACCAAAGGAAACTTGTTACAAACAGCTGGAATGGCTGTGAAGTGATGACTGTTTGTAATCTGTACCATTCATTTCGTGGGCCCACTTTCATTAACTGACAGTGACTGCTCCATAATACGAAGAACCTGATGTGATAAACAAAACCACAAGTTTATCACTGCTTTTTCCATAATATGGAGATACCATGTGTATAATTAGATATGATAATTAGAAATGGTGTACTGGCAACCTTCTGTAGATCATCACGTGTCCAACCATGATTTGGAGTGAGTGATTATGGTTTTAAGCTGCTTTGTGCAATATTCAAGCAATATCATGGCAAGGGGACACCAGAACAGAACCTTGATCTTTGGTGGGACAAGGGAACGCATTAGCCACTACACTACCCCATCGCCCAAACATTTTAGACAGACGTTATGATTTATATAAGTCAATAAATAAACCCATACGTAATTAAAAAAGACAACATATCATGACACATCTTAGAATAGAAATGAGGTTTGACGAGTTTAGTGGCATGGTCAAGAGAGGTGTACCAGGTATGAAATCTTTTGTGGTGAAATCATGGGTTTATACTTCTCTGCTTTCAATGTCCAACATCTACTGGTCACCGATATTTGAAAAGCAATAAATGTACATGTCAGCCAAGCAGTCTTATTTGGTGATTTGAGTTCACCCATAACTGAAAAATCACTAAGGAGTTTTAGATAAGAATAACATGTTAGGGCTTGTACCTATTGCCAGGTAGCTGGTAGCAGAGAATGCTTAAGTGCCAATAAATGGGGTTTTTTTGTGTGAGAAAGGCAAAGTTGTTATGTATGTCAGGGGGGACTGCTGGTGTGGAGTTATCAGGCTCACTTGGTATGAAGCCTGGGTAGAATCTTGGAATAAAAGATCTTAGAATGGATCCACAGGAAGGATCAGTTGATTAGGCAACTGGAATTTTCACATGCCTGGAGTGCATGTTATGAATGCCTGCTTCCTCTGGTCCAGACTTTACTTTGATGTATGTAATACTGCCGAGTTCAGTGATGTTAGTATGCTCTTGTATACATAATCCTGAGAGGATGCAGTTGTATCAGTTGTCTCAGCAGTCTCTCATGGATTATGTCTGGACCAGACAATCCAGTGATAAACATTGTGGACATCTATTTATGCATTTGGGATACGATGACATGCATCAATCAAGTCAGCGAGCCTGAACACTCGATCCTGTTCGTGGCCTCTTAGGACGGTTCACCGAGGATCAATTTTGACCCAGACACAGTGGCAAGCATTGGGTCAATTAGTTGCCTTAAACTCGTAAAAATACACCCAACTGAGAATCTGTGTTAGAATAGATACCCAGCGATCAGTTGGTCAGGCTGGGCAACTTCGTTGATTGCATGTCACCTACCCGGAAGTCTCGGACTGCTGCTCACAATATCGATCGCTGGATTGTGACTCGATGTATTTACAGGCCACCTCCACATGACTGCAACACTGTGCTGCTTTAGGCAATTTACAAACAGATTTCAAACATACTTGTGTCTGTAACATTAGTTCTTTCCTTGCACCTAAAGCTAGCAAGTATTTTCTCCAACCGACCCATAGCTAATGATAAGCCACTTCCAGTTCGGAAGTTCGGGTGTGATTTCGCCCCACCTGTCCCTTTTCCAAACGACTGTTCGGTCAAAATAAAAAATAATGTCCGTAATAATTCTAAACATTCTGTCCAGATCAGAGGCGGTGGGGTGGCCTAGTGGTTCATGCGTTCGCTCGTCACGCGGAAGGCCCAGGTTCGATTCCCCACATTGGTGCAATGTGTGAAGCCCATTTCAGGTTCCCCCCGTAATAATGCACACACAACACACACACTCCCTACCCCTAACTATGTTGATAAAAGCGGCGTAACACTATATTCACTCACTCACTGTCCAGATCAAATACGTCACCAACTGAGGCAGCACTGGCAGCAGTTCAAACATTCAAAACTGATAAGTTAAAATGCAAGCGGTTAATACTTGAATGGCAACATTTGTAGCAAGTGAAATGTTTTCCTTTGGACTCTCACAGCGTTTGATCAAACGTATGGAAGCCCACATCGATACGCATTTTACCATATCTAACGACTTCATTACGTATGTATCAATACTATCATGGCATGCATTCAGCCTCTCGACAGCTGCTACCAATCCCCCAGTCTAATATTCAATATGTCTGATTGATAGCCCAGAAAATGTAAAACAAGAAAAAGCGTGCCAACCCCCTATCGGTGTGGCAGATGAAATATTTATCTGGTAGGATGTAGTTTAAAGTGTTGAAGCCGGTTTCATCGTTTCCCTTCTCGGAGAGTGACAAACCAATAACTTGATTACCCCTAAGCTCATGAGTATGCATGGTTATGCATTCTATGTGAAAATTCTTCTTTAATTTTCTTGTACCAGCTGTGTACATTCTGTGACGCACAAGTTCTTTGTCAAGACAAATTACTAGTAAGTGGTATGCCGGATGCCTATAGGTGGGAGGTTGGATCTCTGAAATGGTACCCGTGAAGACCAGGGTTAGAATTGGTCTTTAGCAACCGATGCTTGTCGTAAGAGGCGACTAACGGGATCTGGTAGTCAGGCTCGCTGACTTGGTTGACACATGTCATCGTATCAGACCAGCTTAGGTCGCTGCTCATACTGTTGATTACTGGATTGCCTGGTCCAGACTCGATTATTTACAGACCGCCGCCATACAGCTGGAATACTGCTGAGTGCGGCGTTATACAACAAACAAAACTGAAATGGTTAGCCAGCCTGAAAGGCGCGTGCAATATACATGCAGCACGATCAGGTCATATCAAACGAACGTCGGTTTCTGTATTTTAAGGCGGTGTAAATCACTTTTAAAAAAGAGGATCATAACAATAAGCATGAATGATTAGGCTGTGGGGTAGCCTAATGGTTAAAGCGTTGGCTCGTCACGCCGAAGACCTGGGTTCGAATCCCCACATGGGTACAATGTGTGAAGCCCATTTCTGGTGTCCCCCGCCGCGATGTTGCTGGAATATTGCTAAAAGTGGCGTAAAACCAAACTCAGTCAGTCAGTCAGTCATAAATGATTACATACACGAACTGAAATAACAAACCTGTAATTTTCTGTTGAACAGAAAGTTTGTTTTAACAGCACTTCTAGAGTTTATAACTTCCTGTTCGGCGTTCCAGACAGACTTTTAAGCAGCTAAAGTATGGATATTGGCACTGTACTACAAAACAGTGCAGGTATATTGATTGATGGATGTCGTAATACAACTGTATTAGACTTGCACATTACATGGTGTGATTGCACAAACCCAGTAACAAGAGCACATACACATCAGATAATGGAACTTCATCACCTTGTCCATGGTGGTTAATTGGAGCAGGGAGTCTCCCTGATTGGAGGAATGCAGAACTCTGAACCAACAATGGGCTCTTCAGCGTCATTGAAGACGGGATATGCCAAGCGCGGATATAAGGACCAGTGCCATTATACTATTAGAATTAAAAATAAGGGCCTCTACAAAGCACTTAACCATTGGAACAATTAATTCGAGTATGTTTTTCAATCTTTTTTAAAAAATAAATCATATTATTTATGTATATGAGATGTCAGCGTTCGAAATTAAACGTCGGTCCTTAGGCCCGAAGCCGACTGAAAACCACTCCTATTTTTGAAAATCAAACAACTTTTATTTTTTGTCTGTATGCGGACAGCTTTTTCATCCCTGAGAAATAAGAGTATTATTATTTCAGAAAATATCAATTAGTAATTTCTAGTTTAAATTTCTAAATTAAACGCTTTAACTCAGTTTGTTAGTTGTCCCATTTTTTTGTTTGCAGGGAATTATTTATATTGTAGTAAAAATATTGGGCCAACACATGATCAGGACCCACAACTTTTTATGGTTCTGGGTCCTTAGGGCTTGCAGCTTTTCAGGGTTAAGGGCAAACACTGTGATATGTACATGTATTGCGTTAACGAAGTAATTACATGTACGATCGGTGCTATTTAAATCGACAATGCGCAGTAGCTGTAGCAAATGTTCCCTTAATCCAAATATATTTGTTATCCTGATACGTTAGAAAGATCTACATACAAGACCATGCAGGTTCTGATAAAAGTCGAAATGCCGCTACATATAAAAAACACCTTCATGAACACATCACTGGGATGAATCACATTGTGAATGTAAAATTCTGAGTCGATGCAGAAACTCAAGTCTGACATATGAAGAATGAAAACAATCTTTGCATAACAATTAATTTATATTCAAGGTTATAGCAGAACATTGTTAACGACAGTTGGTAATTGTGATAATCTGACACCGCGGTCGATCGTGATCCGAATGTGAACTCAAAAGGATTAGGAAATAAGGGGTGCCAAAAGAAATTGTTTCATTCGCACGTGTGTCGTAATGATTTAACATCGCCGTCAATTCCGAAATACAATAAATATGACATATTCCTTTCGTAAGTTCAACATTACATATACCAGTGTCAACATCCATATGGGCTCCATATCTTGGTCATCTGAATTGCTGCATGGGTACGGCATAAAACTAAACTCACTCACTCATTTAAATAGATCTATCAATTATCGTTTCTTCCTAAAGAAATGCAGCCCGTTTCTTTTCAACGTAAACCAAGTCCTTTCTGGTTTGTTACCAGAGGATAAAAGCGAAATATATGCATACTATTCACTCAAACGACAGGGTCAGTGTTTTTGAATTCCCCGCCAGAATATTCTTTCCACAGGGGATTCCCTACGAGCATGCGCGGTTGAAGGATTCCCCTACTTCCGGAATTAACATCCAACACGTGTGACTGTTTTCATTTCTCCGACAGCTGCCTGAAATCGACATGGCAGATATAGAGACAGTGAAACGTCAGTTTGAAGCAGTTCTACATAATGTCTCAGACGACGTCCGGTCTCAATTTCTAAGCTGGATCAAGAATAAAATAAACTCAGGTATAAATGTGAATGTAAAACAGGAGAGTATCGTTATTTAAAGTGTAATGTTTGACCCAATCTCTGTGAATCGACTTGCATGGATCAACTTAAGACACTGGCCAATTTTTCCATGTACTACATGAATAACTTCTCTTATGATTGAAGAGGTTCATATTTCTCCAAATATGTATTATAATTCTATGAGAAGGAATAAAATGACCGTCAATTTGAGATGTATGATCAGAGACCATATATAATAGATTATATGGTCTCTGCTATGATGATGAACAGTTTTAGCTCACCTTAGTCATGTTAATGATGTTTTCTATTTTATTTATGTAGAATCACGGTGAAGCTTTGCAACATGTTACTCTAGTCAGAGACCATATATATATCTATTATATGGTCTCTGCTCTAGTGTACAATGTTTACGGGGTTGTTCGAATACATTTGAAAACAATAAACTGTAATATATTCAGATTAGCATTGACAGACAATTGACATCTGTGAATACATAATGCCATTGAAGAACGTGGTCACATGTAACACATCTTATATTTGGGATTTGTTTTGGAAGCGGTGGTGGCTGAGTGGGTTAAACCGCTTACTTTCTGTGCTGGCAATTAGGTGCCTGACTCTGATCGAGGATGTGGGTTCGAATCCCAGAAAGTACTTCGACAATGTACTAGAACATGTACTTTACTGAGAAAATGTAACCCCAAATATAACATGTGTTACAGTTGGCAGCAAAACATTTACTGTTTCATGATGTATTTCAAGTAGTTTTGTGTTGACAATGAATAATGTGTGTCAGGTGAATGGGGAGATGTGACAAGGGAGAAGAGTAACGAAGATGTCATGTTGGAGAGCATTCAGAGTGACCTGCGGTCAGAGCTGCCGGTCAATGCTGTGTCACACACAGAGAACATCCACTTCCCCCAGACAGGACCAGTGAGTTGTGTGTCCTGAAACCTGCTTAATCTGGACCCTGTTAGACCAACAACCCAGCACTCTGGACAGCTTTGAGCATGAGAGGGCCAGGGTGCTGTTGTACAAAAAATACATTAGTGCTACAACTGTTGTAAGTCGATATGAAGATATCGGAATTATGCTCACATAGCTTTGTACACCTGCATGTGGTAAGATAAACTCACCACTCTTCAGTATTCCACAGATCAGCACCGCTTTATGTTTGTAATCTGTTAAAAAAAATGCTGCAAGTTATGAAAGAACTTCAAACAACATTTATATGCATTTTATGAACGTTATGTCCATTAGTTTGAGTTTATTTATTCCTTTCTTGCACCACAAATGTGCATTTGCATTTGACTCATTCGTAAAACTGTGCAACAGATTAAAATTTTCTGTACAGACATTCAAAGTGGGACTGCTGTTGTTCGCCTTGAAGTGGAAAATAACAGAAAATATTAAATATGCTTTATAGTTTAATCAGTTCTATTTCTATGGACCACCTTGTACTAAATTTTATAAAAAAGTGTTAAAAAGAATGTGTTTAATTAGATACGGTTAAATAGAAACGGTTTATAATTCTAATTTTCTTTAACTTTATTTTGAGAATTTGTTTAGGTCATAACACTCAAATCAACCTGACAACATTATTTCAGTTTCATTTTCCCTTTATGCATTTTGAAATTTTAAAACAGATGGGACATATGTCCCTTCATCTCATGTTAGGGGAGGTAGGGTAGCCAAATGGTTCAAAAGGAACCTTTGTCTCGCTGAAGACCTGAGTTTGATTCCCCACATGGGTACAATGTGTGAAGCCCATTTCTGGTGTCCCCTTTCGTGATATTGCTGGAATATTTCTAACGGCTACATAAAACCATACTCACTCATTCACTCATGTCATGTCCCATTTTGTATGTTCAGAATGCCGACTGTGATCCGAGCACCACTGTGCACGTGGATGCCTTCTTGTATGACGAGGATGCCATAGATGACCTGTGTGAGGATGGCAAGATGAGCAGGAACTACTGCACACGATGTGGCTCCCAGGAGGTCCAGCCTCTCAGTAAGTGCTGCACTTGTTATAGAAACATGGAAGAATACTCACTTACCATGGCTACTACTACTACTCTACTAATATGCAACTGGTGCTGCTGCTACTACTACTCTGCTACCACTACTTACACTACTACTACTGCAACTGCTACTACTACTACTGTACTACTACTGCTACTACTACTCACTTACTACTACTACTACTACTACTAGTAGCTACTGCTGCTACTACTACTACTCACTACTGCTTTACACTACTACTACTAGGCAACTGGTGCTACTACTATTGCTTCTGCTACTACTACTTCACTACTACTACTACTACAGGCAACTGGTGCTACTACTACTGTTTCTACTACTACTACTACTACTACTACTAGGCAACTGGTGCTACTATTCTTGCTACTACTACTTACACTACTACTACTAGGCAACTGGTGCTACTACTTCATTGCTTCTGCTACTACTACTTACACTACTACTACTACTAGGCAACTGGTGCTACTACTACTTGCTTCTACTACTACTACTACTACACTACTACTACTACTAGGCAACTGGTGCTACTACTACTTCTTGCTCTGCTACTACTACTTACACTACTACTACTGGCAACTGGTGCTACTACTATTGCTTCTGCTACTACTACTTACACTACTACTACTAGGCAACTGGTGCTACTTACTATTGCTTCTGCTACTACTACTACTACACTACTACTACTAGGCAACTGGTGCTACTACTTCTGTTACACTACTTCTGCTACTACTGGTGCTACTACATTGTACTACTACTACTAGGCAACTGGTGCTACTACTATTGCTTGCTACTACTACTTACACTACTACTACTAGGCAACTGGTGCTACTACTATTGCTACTGCTACTACTACTTACACTACTACTACTATTGTATGCAACTGGTGCTACTACTATTGCTTCTGCTACTACTACTTACACTACTACTACCAGGCAACTGGTGCTACTACTATTGCTTCTGCTACTACTACTTACACTACTACTACTACTACTGGTGCAACTTACTATTGCTGCTACTACTACTTACACTACTACTACCAGGCAACTGGTGCTACTACCATTGCTTCTGCTACTACTTCTACTACTACTACTGGTAGGCTACTGGTGCTACTACTACTTACTTCTACTGCTACTACTACTTACACTACTACCATTGCTTCTGGTACTCACTACTACTACTTGGTGCTACTACTTCATTGCTTTGCTACTACTACTACTAGGCAACTGGTGCTACTACTATTGCTTACACTACTACTACTTTCACTACTACTGGTACTAGGCTACTGGTGCTACTACTACTACTTTACTTTCTACTACTACTACTAGGCAACTGGTGCTACTACTATTGTCTGCTACTACTACTACTAGGCAACTGGTGCTACTACTGCAACTTCTGCTACTACTACTACCAGGCAACTGGTGCTACTACTATTGCTTCTGCTACTACTACTTACACTACTACTACTAGGCAACTGGTGCTACTACTACTTTACACTACTACTACCAGGCAACTGGTGCTACTACTATTGCTTCTGCTACTACTACTTACACTACTACTACTAGGCAACTGGTGCTACTACTATTGCTTCTGCTACTACTACTTACACTACTACTACCAGGCAACTGGTGCTACTACTATTGCTTCTGCTACTACTACTACTTACACTACTACTACTACTAACTGGTGCTGCTACTACTACTTCTGCAACTACTACTACTAGGCAACTGGTGCTACTACTATTGCTTCACTGCTTAGGCAACTGGTGCTACTTTCACTACTCTGCACTACTACTACACTACTAGGCAACTGGTGCTACTACTATTGCTTCTGCTACTACTACTTACACTACTACTACTAGGCAACTGGTGCTACTTCTATTGCTTCTGCTACTACTACTTCACACCACTACTACTAGGCAACTTGTGCTACCACACTGCTGTTTTGCCTACTACTACTTACAATACTACTACTAGGCAACTGGTGCTACTACTATTGCTTCTGCTACTACTACTTACACTACTACTACTACTATTGCTTCTGCTACTACTACTTACAATACTACTACTAGGCAACTGGTGCTACTACTATTGCTTCTGCTACTACTACTTACACTACTACTACTAGGCAACTGGTGCTACTACTGCTACTTTTGCTACTGCTACTACTGGTGCTACTACTACTACTACTACTACTGTTGCTGCTATTCATTGCTGGACAACTACTCTTCTACTACCAGCACGATACGTTTAACAGTCACATTATCAGAACAGCTAACTGGGTACCCATTTGCTACTGGGTGCACTGAGGCTTTTTGCCTTAGGATTCAACATGTCATTTTAGTGGAATATCGTGAAGTGAGAGGGGAACAATAAATCCTCAGTATAGCAGACTGTAAAGAGGAATCGGTGGTGCCAATGTATGACCTGACTTGTGTGTCACTATATCCCAACGACCCGCGGAAGATCCTGTGGTAATAGGTCTTCAGCAAATCCCAAAGTGTTACATAAAGGCTACTTATGCTTGTATTCAGAAGAGGCGCACTTTAACGGGATCGGGTGGTCAGTTTCGCTGACTTGGTTGACACATGTCCTCGGTTCCCAATTGCGCAGATCGATGCTCATGCTCTTGATCACTGGATTGTCTGGTCCAGACTCGATTATTTACAGACCGCCGCCATATAGCTGGAATATTGCTGAGTGCGGCGTAAAAATAAACTCTCTCACTCACTCACTATATCCCAACAGCTGGGATTGTATATCTTGTTATTGACCATGGGAACCTGTGAAGATCCTGGTTAGAATTGGTCTTCAGTAACCCATGCTTGTCCTAAGAGGCGACTAACAGGATCGGGTGGTCAGGCTTGCTGACTTAGTTGACACATGGCATTATATCACAATTGTGTAGATTGATCACTGGATTGTCTGGTCCAGACTCAAATTATTTGCAGACCTCTGCCATACAGCTGGAATATTGCTGAGTGCGGCGTTAAACAGCAACAGACCAACCATTGACCATGGTTTGAACTGCTTTGATCAGCTTGTGATGGTAACAATCCCTCACTGATTCATCACGATTCACCTGACAAATGGGCATGGAATAGCCCAGAAACAACGTAACATACAATAAAGAAGAAGTTGGCATCCATAATATTTGCCTTTTACTTACATATTTACATTTTGTTTGTCAGCCTTCATCACACACTCAGCATCAGCAGCTCAGGTGAAATACATCTTAAACTATGCCCTGCCTGACCTCAGTGGGAAGAATGTGCTGGATGTGGGGTCTCGGATACATGCAGTGCTGTATGGGTACAGTGAATCATTTACATGCATCTGGTACTGATGCAAATCTGGCTATAACATTGTTAGTGTGATGTGTTTCTACTTGCCTGAGAAACATTAATAGAGTTGCTTTGAAGGAGTTTCTGCCAAACCTTCATCAAGGATTGACAAAAATATTAATTTTTTGAATTATTGAATTAATTATTTATTATATCTCAATGTGTTATATTTTTTTTAAAAAGTGGGGCATAATTTGACACATATTTAAAAAAAAGGTAGATATTTATAAAAGGTAAGGCTATCTTATAGATATAATTAAGAAGATGAGCATGATTCAGCTTGGAGAAATGGAGAGGTACATCCCCCTGCCTTTGGAGCAAAGTCATGTGGAGATTTGTATTGTTACCAACATAGTTATGGAAATGGTCGGAAGACTAAATGGTTTTCTTTATGTCAATTTCTATTGTAATGATCTGGTAGTAATGCAGAAATACAAGAGTTTGTGTCTCCACCAGGCGTGCATCTGTACAGTAAGGCTAAGCATATTGTTGGGGTGGAGATCGACTCAAACGTTCACCAGCCTCCAGACTGCAGCTGCTGCCAAGTACAACATGGCAGACAGAATACAGGTACAGACCCTATATCTGTTGTACATTCCCTCGTGCTACAGATCCTAGATATGTTAGTAAATAACAGTGCTACAGAGCCAGATATGCTAGATCTGTTGTAGATTCTAGTGCTTCAAACCCTAGATCTGTTGTACATTCTAGTGATACAGACCCTAGATCTGTTGTACATTCTTGCTGCTTACACCTAGATCTGTTGTACATTCCTGTGTTACAGACCCCTAGATCTATTGCAAGGAGTTCTGTGACATGGTAACCTGTGATCTGTTGTACATTCCTGTGCATGACAGCATCAGATCTCTTGTGCATTCCAAAGCTAGAGACCCAGATCTGTTGTAAACAACAGTGCTACACGAATTCTAGATCGGCTGTATATCCTCTGTGATACAGACCCTAGATCTCATTGTAAATACAGTGCCACATACCTAGATCGGTTGTATATCTCTGTTATACAGACCCCAGATCTCATGTAATATCCCCTTGTGATACAGACCCTAGATTCAGGAAAATATTCCTGTGCTATAGACCCTAGATGTTGTAAAATAATAGTGCTACAGACCCTAGATCTGTTGTACATTCCAGTGCTACAGACCCTAGATCTGTTGTACATACCTTGTGTTGTAGATCCTAGATCCATGCAGTACATTTTTGTGGTACATATGCAAGGATCTGTTGTACATTCCTGTATGGCATACCCTGGGATCGGCTAGGCATTCCTCTGATATAGACCCAGGATCTGTTGTACATTATTGTGGATACAGACCCTAGATCTGTTGTACATTCCTGTGCTGTCCCTAGATCTGTTGTGCCATTCTGTGCTATGACCTCAGATCTGTTGTACATTCCTTGGCTGACCGATCTAATGTAGACTAAATACTACAGACTCCTAGATCTTTGTACATTATTGTGTACAGACCCTGATTCAAGGCATTCTGCCAAACACTTTATCTGTTGACATTCTAGTGTTAAAGACTCTAGATCTGTTGTGTATTATTCTGTCCTCAGTCTCAGATCTATTATATTCTCCCAGATACAGACTGCATCTGTTGTAAGACTTTATTAATTATAGATCTGTTGTATATTCTTCTAAAGCTATAGATTCACCTAGTTAATTCTTATAAACC